TTTCCCAAAAACGTATTATGTTTCAATCCACACCAATGAATCACGCTCTTTTTAATTTAGACTTAGTGTCGCGAATATCCGAGTTCGGACCTGTTTTGTATTAGTCTGGTTCTTATTGAAAGGCAAGTTACCAGTGCAGTCACTGATAGCTAGCCTGTGTGCTAATAACCTAATACCTCTCACTTTTTAGTCTTTCTTTCTTCTACCTAAGTCCTTAATAAAAAATATCCCTCCGGATTGGCACAAATAGGACCCTTCCGGACTAATAGAATCTAGACCCCTCCGGATTGGGAGCCCTCCGGTTTTGTAAAAGTGGCTTTTCGGAGATTTCCTTTTTTCAACCTATACCCCTCCGGATACGTTCTCCGATGCAATTATGCTCTTTCAATTAACTGGGAAGGGTATGTACTACCTTCCTAGACCCTTCCGGATTGAAGTTAAGCCTCTTATTTGCCAATTCACACTAACGGTGAAGGGTCTTATCGCCGGCCTAACTTCGGCTCGATTAAGCTTTTGTTGTGCCTTTAGCCCTCCCTTCTCGTCTAGAATGGCCTAAAGTTACTTTATTCAACCGCTATTACCTTTTGGTAGGGGTATAAGGGCTCTTCTAAAAGAAATTTATAAAACGTGAAGGGTGTACCCTTCCAAATTGAGGAATTTGCTAAAAACAATCTCAAAAATTTTTCACGCTTACTTTTCCGAACAATTTCTGTCCCTATCAGTAAGTTCAGCTAAATTCTGATCTATTGGTACCAAGATCAACTCGATATGCCCAGTAGTTTCAAAGTTATTAACCAAAACGTCTTTTTTCTAAACTCAAAAATTTTTTCTCTCTTATAGGTTCCGCCTAAATTTTTCTGCAAATCTGGTCCTTTCGTCCTAAAAATTATTGATCCGAGCTCAGAAGGCCTATACTCTTCTAGTTCAATGCAAAAGACCCGATCTAAAACGCTTTTGTAGAAAAAATTTGCGAAAAACTATGCTACCTGTACCCCTCCGGATTGATGAATCCACCAAATCAAACACGTTAAGTTCGATTACTCTGCAACCGGGAAGGCTTTCGGGTAGCGGGTTTTAAAACTTGTAGATTCACTAGTGGACGTTGTCCGAACAACAATTTTTACTGTTCTAACTCAAAAATTTCAAAAAATTTTCTGAATTTTTAGTGTTTCGGTTTCTCAAAAATCACGAAAATTCGTTTTTTTTTTGTTCCAAAATAGTTCCAACCACTTCCGAACTAAACTCAACCGGTTCTGTCTATTATGGTAGTGCAATTACGATGTAACACACTAACTTAGCGCTTTTTTCCGTTTCAAAAAATATCGATATTTCAAAAATCGCGACTTGTGGGGGGATCAAAATATCGCCATTTTGACCCTAAAAACCGGTCTATTTTCGTTGTTTTTGACTGAAAAACGATATAAGACTATTAATATAGGCGATATAAATAGTAATATTAGTAATACTATACCCCTCCGGGTTTCCTTAATATCCGAATTAAGGTGCTTAACTCGGATATTCGCAGTTCGGTGAAGGGTCACTGCAGTGCAGCACTGTCGAGCCCCCCACAGATTACTATCTTAATTTTTGTGCCAAAAGGGCTACAAAACTTGTTAACGATACCCAACAGTCGATTGTTGTCGTCGTTGAGCCTCTTCTTGTTGCTCCTTGTACTGCTTGCCGGATCGGTCTTCACCCAAGACCCTTCCGAATTGAGCGCAAATCAGCTGACCCTTCCGGATTGAGCGCAATTTATGATTAACGTGCTTAAATGCTCAAATAACCCTACAGTACAAGCCTCACAAACGGGCTACAAAATTGATCGTAACAATCCTGACTGATATAAATGCCTGTAACAACAATATATCTATCACAAACAAACGGGGGGCCGGATCACATCTTGTCTGGGGGGATGATTTCTACTGATTTTCTACTTTTTTTACTGTTTTTGGTTTTTTCGTCAATTTTTTATGTTTTTTGTTTTTCTTGGGTACTATACTACTTTTTGTTTGGTTTTACTTATATCTTTAAGTGTTTTTGGTCACAAACCACTCAGGGGATGAGGGGTTCGCGATTCCCCCCACCCTTCCTGGTTCGTGAATTTTCGGTCTTAACTAGGTTAAAAAACTATTCACGGTAATCCGGAAGGCTTCCGCGTTCCGAACTACCCTTCCGCCCCGGCGGTTTAGGCCTATTAAGGGCGTTAATGTGAGCATCCGCTTGGCGCGGAGTGCTGGTTAACGGTTCTGCCGGTCATGATGTTAAAAAAGAATAACACCCAGGAGCGCCATAAAAACATGTATGTAACATTCGCCCGGAAGATACATATCGACGGATAACAAAACTAAGTCTTAAGACGACTGGCTAACATCTAAACAGAGCTTTGCATGCTTTTCACCGTCTCTACCAAGCCAGTACTTTTCGGTGGTCTTTCTAACATCGGGTCGACAAAAACGTTACTGCTCTCCGGCTTCGACCAGAACGCTCAAATTAACTTAATTACATGCAACTAGTGAGCTCATGGCTGGGTCTCAGTATCCCCAGACCACGAGGTCACTCCTAAAAACAGGGTTACTACTAATTATATTACTATTATTTTTGTTCAGTAGATAAAAATCATCATCTCCATCGAAGATGGATCAACCCTTTCCCCCAACTCCTAGCACCTCATCCTTGTCAAAACTAATCCAAATATCAATTAAATTCAAGTCAGGACATGACAGGATGTTAAAAGTTTACGTGGCAGGATAAAAGTTTCAGTTCCTTTACCCTTCCGAATTGACGAATCCGCTGAATCAAGCACGTTAATCTTGATTTCCTCCTAATCCGGAAGGCTGGTTTCTTACCCCTCACCGTTCCAATAACGTTCTTAGTTCTTAATAACCACAAATCCGGAAGGTTTACTGCTAAAAATTCGAGGTCTGCACATATTGCATTTTGGCCATTCTGGTCGAATGCCACATCGACCAGAATGGAGCAAAATGCAGATTCGGCATATTCGAAATTTTAGCAATGAACCTTCCGAATTGGCGATTTTGAGGGAATAAGAGCGTTATTGGAACGATTGGCCAAACGGTGAGGGCTAGAATATTCTGGTATTTTAAAATTTTAAAAATTCGAATTATGACGTCATATTTCTGAGAAACGTCAGAAACGGCCATTTTGGTAGAAAAGTCGAAGAAGGACACAACAACGATAGTTGCGACGACGACAACAACGAGAAAATTGAGAATCAGAATCAGAGAAAAGCAGAAGTAGCAGAGACCGCTCCAAGTTGCAACTATTGTGTCGCTACAATAGTTGCAAGGCAGTTGCTAACAACAGTGAGTGGTGGAAACCAGCCTTCCGGGTTACAGAGAAATCAAGCTTAACGTGCTTGATTCAGTGGATTCGAGAATCAGGAGGGGTTTCGGGACTGAAATTTTTATCATCTTAAATGAACTTATAGCTTCCCTGTCATGTCCTGAATTGAATCTAATTAACATCTGAATTCATTTTGCTAGAATGAGAAGCTAGGAGTTGGGGGAAAAGGTTGATCCATCTTCGATGGAGATGATGATTTTATATACTGAACAAAAACAATAATAATTCAATAAGAAGTAGTAGCCCTGTTTTTAGGAGTGACCTCGTGGTCTGGGGATACTGAAACCCAGCCATGAGCTCACTATTTCTGCATGTAATTAAGTTAATTTGAGTGTTTTGACCGAAGCCGAAAGCAGTAACGTTTTTTGTCGACCCGATGTTAGAAAGACCACCGAAAGTACTGGCTTGGTAGAGACGGTGAAAAGCATGCAAAGCTCTGTTTAGACGTTAGCCAGTCGTCTTAGGACTTAGTTTTGTTCTCCGTCGATATGTATCTTCCGGGCGAATGTTACAAGTAGTCGTTGAAATAGTACAGAAACACTGTAAATTTAATTTTATGTGTAAAATTGGTGCGTATTCATAGGTTCCAAAACGAGCAACGAGCAAGTGAGTTTTCGTCGGTACAATTGCTCAAAATGTTTGCGGATTGTTGTTCGTAGGGACAACTTGCAAGGCGAATAACAGTCTTAACGGGTGAGTAACCAGCTTTTAAATTTCTCAAACAAAAGCTAGACCTAGCGATTCAGCGCGGGAACGCTGGATGCATCCTTGAGGCAACTAGTTGACACACACCCTTCGCTTTACTGCTTCAACTGTAAACTGTGCGGTATATACGCTCTTTTTATTTCTTGTTCAATTTAATTGACTTCTTTACAAGTCCCATAGGTTCCAAAATAAAAAAGCAGTCGCATAAGTTTCAAATCTTTTCAATTGGTCAAAAGACTAAATTAGCCGAGTCTCGGTTTAAGGTAGCCGGTGGGCGCGCTACGCGCGCGTCGTCGCTTTGCAGCGATAACCGGCTCTAAATTTTGTATAGAGTCCTACCATTTGGTGGCAAGCTCGCAACACGTTGGCGCGGCTGCGGCCGTCACTATTCTGCAGCTTGAGTTTACGCTGGTTGAACAGTAAACAATCAATCCATAAATTCGTTGGCTCAAATTTCAACCAATCAGAATTCATGAAGATAAACTTTGGAACTTATGCGACTGATTTTTTATTTTGGAACCTATGAATATTGGAACCTATGGGAATTCACGGTAAAATCAGATTAGTTACTCAAATTTTTTTCTATTTTTTTTTCATATATTTTTTATGAGTTAAATCATTGAGTAAAATGGGAAGCAATTGTAACATGACATCTTCTTTTATGATTATCCTTTCCATATCTAGAAAATTTCGACTGTAACCTCGTTTTCTATTATACTTTTGACCTTCTGATTACTATATAAAAGTTTAAAAGGTCCTAATTTGAGAACTTTAGGATGATAAGATATTTGAGCATAATTTTAGCTTGATAAAAAATTGAGTATCAAACCGTAATCTGACCCCGAAAAGAGTTGTTTCATGATAATTAACGTAATTTTGTTTGCTTGATACTTTTCACCGTTCGGGCATAAACATAAATTGTTTTCGGTTTCAGAAAGCAATGCAAGTGCAGCAGCCTCCCCCACGGAGAAGAATTGTTCCGCCTAGTACTCAAACACCGGCAACACCAGCAGGTGGAGGATTTTCTCGGAGTGGCACAATTAGTGATGGAAGCTCAGGTTTTCCCGCCGGTCATATTCGACCATCGTCACTTGGTCAGTGGTAAAAGCTTGAAGATCATTTTTTGAAGAGTTATAATTAGTTGCAAAAAGTTCGGACAGACAGAATTAATTAAAATGAGCAATCAGTGCTTTTCGACGCTTTTTTGTATGCAAAATCTTAAGCCGAACAACCTTGAATTTTTTGTCAGACCTAATTCAAAGTGCGAGATAGTCGATTATTCGATGATTATGCTAGCCTAATATTTAAATACTGCGATGAACATTCAGATTTGATTATAAAACAGTTAGCAAAATTAGTTAAAAATCGAAATCTAGAATTATTTTCAACAAAAAAAAACATAAGGACGCACCAAAAAACGGAAGTGAAGCGTGTTCAAAATATTCAAAATTTGGAAACTAATCGCAAAAAAGAACGTAAGCTACCCTGAGCAATAATTGTCCTGCAAGGCTTACTATTCGACGCTTCGGATGCAATTACCCACCGTTGTTATAGGTTTTGAAAAAAAAGGTCAATTAAAATGGGTCATTCCGTCATGCGACGGTACGTGCACAGGTTGGATAGGGCCGTACCAACGCTATATAAATACATCGGCAAAATTTTATGAATAAATCAAGTTGATATTAATGCATCAAGAGAATTGTCAATTAAAATCTACCCTCCTCGATTATAACACAGATAGAATTGTCTATGTTGGATGTATTTTTAAGATTTTTGCACCCCCTAAGGCAGAGGATTGCACTCCTCAGAAGTGCGAAACTTATTTTTGTTCTTATGAAGTTTATTGTTTCCGAGTATGATTCGTTCCGTTTCTCGCGTAGTTTTTCTGCTAGTTTCTGGATGGTTTTTGCAGATACTGGTGCTGCTCCTCTGGTACACGCAAGAATTAGTTCCACATCCAGAATTCTTTATTGGTATTTTAATGTTTTGACACTCTCATGATATTTGTAGGCGTCAGGTATAGTTTTAGGGCAGGGTTTATCATGGGGGTTGAGAATTTATACATCAAAAAAGGTTCGTCTGAATCGGCCTCCCAGAGTCCATTTGCCTTGATGACAAGTTGACCGTCATCTTCAGTAGTGGTTGTTTTGTTGTGAAAGCTTTCGCCTTCCAAGGATTGAAGTTTTGGCTCTATTTCAACATCATGGCATACTTCGTCCAGGAGTGTCGCAAAGGTATCGCGAATTTCATTAAGTCTTAGGTGAGTGTATCCACCTTTGGGACAGTGTAGAGAGTGGGTCAGTGTGAACGGTTGTCCACATGGGCATGTATGTGGGGTGTTTGGTGGTGGCCATCCATATCTCAGATGTAATCCATCTTTAAACTCTGATTTGTTGAGGGAAAAGTTATTTTTTTAAGGGTATCACGCTTAGCCAATTCGATGCTCCTCTCTGTGACGCTAGATTTATTGTCAGTTTTTCTCTGATGAGCAGTTTTCCATAATTTTAGCCTTTTTTGAGAGTATGATGTTCTGTCTCTCAGTTTTGATGTTTCTATTTATCAGAGTTTGTTCCGTTTCAGCTATTTCTGGATCACTGTTTTCTGATGGCTTGTGACCACTCATAAATGGCTTGTGACCACTCATTTTTTCTGGAAAAGTCCGTGTTACTGAGGAGGTCTAATCCTCCCATTCTTAGTGGTAGTGCAAAAAAGGTTGCGATCTTCATCGGTTATATGGTTTTTACCAGTAATACTAGGAAGCAGCTGGTGTCTTACGTTTTTCTTAACTTCATCCATTTTCTTAAATGCTTCCGGAGTTGTTCTGGTTAGAAATCTTAATTTGTTTTTAACTCCCTTTGTGTAGCAGGAGTACGCATTTTGTGGTGATTTTTTAGCTATTTTGGAAAGATTTTCAGTTAGGGTAGCTGTCTTTTCAATTTCGCTTTCCATGTATTTATCGCATGCTGATGGTGTTCCTATAACCGATCCAAGGAGTGTAAAACCGTCTACCATTGTAATATTTGTGCCTTCGAATACTTTTATGGCGCTGTCACGACGGTTTTCTTTTACTATGAGTTGACACTTGGAAGGCTTCACATTGTATCCGAAAGCCTTTCCGTGCACATCCAGGTTGTTCACTATTGCGCGGAGACTCTTAAGATCACCTGCAGCACTTCCATCATCTGCGTACCATTTTTGGGTGACATTTGGTTTTTGCAGGAGCTCAATCAGTGGGATTATCCCAATTCCGTACATAGCCATTGCGAGGGGATCACCTTGCGTTGTGCCTTCGGTAGATGTCAAAACCGTGTTATTGACCTATAGATTTGACTGATGTTTTATATGAATTGGCCATCGCATGATGTAGTGCCGGACAAAGGATTTCTATGTTTTTAGAGCAAGTTCTCTATTGAGCGAGTTGAAGGCATTTTCTGCATCAATAAGTAGTATGGCGTCCGTTTCCGGTTTCTGAAACTCGTTCCTCAAGCTATGGATAGCATATTCGTTTCCACACTTCTGGCCTACGCAGAGTTGGAAATTTTTCCGAGATTTTCAAGGTCTGGTTTTATACAATGGTTGATTGTTTTGTCAATTTTTCTTCTAAGAACTTCGGCTATACCAATGGGCCGTACCCCTGGACTTTTGTCCAGTGTTATCAGGCGACACGAGTTGTACGCCGTTGGGTTTTCATGGGGGAGAGCCTAACTTGCTTTTGTATAGGATAGTTTAGCAATTGTTTTGCAAAGCTCAATGGATGTCTGGTTGCAGTGAGTTAATATCCTTCTCCATTCGCACGCATCTAGACCTGAGGGACCGTGGCTTCCGTGCGTTTTCAGGGTTGATTTTCGAACTGTCTTGGCGTTTATTTGTTTGAATATAGAGGGGTGGTGTGGCATTGTCTCTTCACTTACATCAGTTATATAGTAAGTGTTCGCTGTTTTGGCTTATGGGTGTTTTCTTTCAGGATACTAAGAACTGTTTTTCCGTCAATGACTTCGTTTAGGGGAAGTACTTCTTTTGTTTTCTTGTCTGAAAGGCAGCCAATGGCGGCAGGTATTTTGCCTGTGCTCATTAGTTTATCGAATTGCTTAACTTCCTCGTTTACTGCGGGTTTCTTCTGTTTTGGATGTCTAATTTGGAGAGCTTTCGCTTCAGTGAAAAGTTCGTCTAATAGACCTTGCTTCTATAAAATTAGGCGGCGGCTTTGTGTTTTAGAAATTGATGCGTTTGTTTCTGATTTTGTTTTGGGGCGCAGCAGATGTGTGAGAATCATTGCTGCTTTCATTGCGACGTTAGAATTTGGTGTTTCTTCTACTAATGACAACAGCTGCTGGTTCAGTAATTCTATGAATTGGAAACTGGGTTTGTTCTTGCTTAGAATTATGAAGCGCGGTTTCCAGTTAACGACTTTTTTATATATATCTTTTATTTTAATTTCAAGTTCTTGGTCGATAAGTTTCCAGGGGTCGAAGGGGGCTGTAGTGATTGCTAGGGGCGATGGATAAGATTGTTGGGCAGTACGTTTGTTTCAGGTGTTGCCGGTGATGTTTCTTTTTGAGTTGTGATGGGGGCTGTGCTTGTTGGTCTGTTGGTGGAGTTGGGCTCTTTTGCAAAGTTCTCGGGGGTGCATTGTATGCAGGAGAACCCATCGTAATAAAATTTGCTACTCTGTAGCCCGCTACATGAGACATGGTTGTAAGCTTTGCTAATGACACACCATATGCCTCCTTTTCGGAGGTGGCGTTTGCAGATATGGCAGTGTGTTTGATCGGCCATAATTTGGCAGCGAGGAGGGTAAATTAATGGTGAATATATACAAGTTAGCTGAGCGAGCAATAAACTGAAAATTTTATTAGCATAAAAAGAAAAATTAATATCATCTTTACAAAACATATTAGCTGTAAAATTTACGTTTAGATTGCGGGAAATAATTTGGATTCTTGAGTGGTAAAATGTATTAATAAGGCGAAACAGAGAGTTATTTAGAGCACCAAGTTTTGTTTATGAAGTGATATTTGCAGAGAGGATGATTTTGGGGATAATTAGCACACTTGGTTTAAACTTAATTATTATCAAATTTTTTTGAAAATCTCCAATCATTAGCAAAGTCTGAAACCGTAGATAAGTTATCATTAAATCCGGCTACTATAGTAACACAGTTCAGTTTCTGCGAGGGGTATCGCGAGACAGTAGCGGCAAGGTCGGCTAGCTTTGCACCTCTGTACGAGTGAACCGTGGCTCCGACATCTTTGGGGTTGCTGTACGTGGTCCTTGATGTTCCTATTACCAGTTTCCTGCTTCACTTGGGTAGCCACTTCGGCCTGTACTTCGGCACGGACATTCACTAAACAGGGTACAAAAGAGGCAAAACAAGAGAGAATGGATTGTAAAATGGATTGGAGAGAAATGGTTTTGAAAAACAAATAACAAAAAAGAAATGAAAGCGATTACAACCTGGTTTTTCACGAGTGGAGGTTCCGGCGGGGATGTCCGGGTAGAGGGGGAGTATCGCGGCTTGACGAGCTTGTCTCTAAAATCCCGTACCGGGCCTTCTTCTCACAAGCGTACCATTATGAGCGTATCATATCACATGAAGCTATTTAATAAGTTTATCACAACAATTAGAAACTCTGCTTTATGAACTTTCGACGTTATGTTTATTACAGTATTAATTTCCGTTGATGTCCGGACAGTTGCTCTTATTAATTAATTCTGTCTGTCCGAACTTTTTGCAACTCTCTATATATTATGAGTAATACTTGTTTGATCGTTTTGACAGGGTATGATCGAAACGCTAGTATGGTCGATTGGTTCGCAAGTAACCGATAGCTGAATTCTTAGTCTTTTCGTTTTTAGGAGTAACACCGGGTTCCTCTACACCTGGCGGGACTCCAATACCGTCAGGGTCTCCGATAACTTCAGTTGCCAAAATTGTAGTATGTGTGATTTTGGCGATTGGAACAATTTCACTCCTCTCGTTTGACATAATAGACGTGGACGCATTCTTTGGTAAGTACAAGTCTTGCATAATTAACAAATAGTGCTTGCATAATTAACAAATGCATTTTTCTGGAGAAAAAAATAGCTTGTGTCCAGGTCTGTTCGGTGACCCCTATTTATTAATTTACTCTGCACGATGAATTTGATTAATTAAGCCAAAGAGTGGCTATTTAACATCGGTTTAATTATTGACGTCAAATTAGAAAAATTTAACCGTCAAATGGCCAGCTGTTTTCATCAGCCAATGTTTGCTACTGATTCTGCTATTTTGACTCACCTGCTTACCGAAAGTCTAAAGCGTGGCGCGTAGAAATTTTATTAACCGCAAGGAGTTCTGGACTGCACTAACAAATCATCAACTTTTGTTGCACTTGATTGCAACTGACTCGATATTATGGACTGACAATGTGGAATTGTGGCTAAACCGAAAAAGAGCAATTTTTAAACAGTCGAACTATTGCAGGAATCGAAGAAGTCCACCTGCCTGATTCAATTTTTGCCAAAAAGGACTTAGCTGAACCTCACGAATACGACCCAATTTCAGTAGCTTATCTGAGAAAGAAGTTGGAGTCGAAAAATTTGAAAGCAGAATTGCGAAAGAAGATAACAGAGAAATTGAAGGTCATTGATGAAATCGAAGCGAAACATGGAAAGCCGAAAATCCAACAGTCTGCCAACATGATGAAAAGTCATTCAAAATCACCCTCTGGCTCGACAGAAAGATCAGATAAGAAGGTACAGGAGACAAAAATAGACGAGGCCGCAACGACAATTCCAGAAGCACAGTTAAAAGTTACAGCTACTCAGGGAACTATTAAACCAAATGAGCCAATAATAAACCCCGAGATCTACAAAGAGGCGTTGACAAAAATGCATGTGGGGTTTTCGGTTCTATTTGACAAAGTTAAAGAAAATATAGACTACGCGCAGGAAAACATTGACGCAGCATCGCTTAAATCAAGTTTAAATATTGATACTGATGCGTTAAAGTTATCGGTTTTTGACCAGCTGAAACCTTTTATGGATAAACTGAATTTGAAAGGCCTTGATTTGACTGACCAGGATCAAGACGGGATTCCGGATGTCATGGCAAACGACATGGATAAAGATGGCGTTCCAGACATCTTTGCTGACAAGGATAACGACGGAGTTCCAGATATTCTAGATAATCCCGAATTTAAAAAGAAGATAAAAGAACAACAAGAGAAAAAAGGTCTTAAAGACGATCAGAAAGCTCCTCTAAAAGCTACTACAGAAACTGTAGATAACAGAGGCGAAGGAATTAGCGATGACAGCGATAGTGTAGTATTTCATGGTAGCGATGATAAGGACGATGCAATCAAGGAAAATGAGTCAGAATACCAAGAAGCAAGCAGTACAAGCAAAGTTAACAAACCAGCAAAAGCTAATAAGAAAACTGAAAATGTGCAGTCAGTGAAAAAATCTCAGGCGAAGTCAGTAAAAAATACGACCGATGTGAAAGTTTCAAAAGTAGATACATCTAAAAGTGTCGAAAAATTATCTAGTCGAAATTCATCTTCAAAGAAGTCTAAAGAAATAAAATGTGCTCCATTTGACAAAGAATGTTCATCTAAAACTGACCCCCATGCTAAAGCCATCAAAGGTTTGCTAAAGCTCTGTCCAACACTAAGTCCTAAATGTCTGGCAAAACACAGGGAAAAGGTACTGGAAGATACAGACAATGATGGAATCCCAGATTTTCTAGAAGGCGATCTAGATAATGATGGTGTTCACGATCATCTGGAAATTGACAGTGATGGAGATGGCGAGGAAGATTTTATGGAGGAGGATGAAGACGATGATGGGATCCCAGATGGCCTGGAACTGGACTCCGATGGCGACGGGATCCCTGATGCATTCGAAGACGAGGATGGAGACGGGATCTATGATATCTATACCAGGGACTCAGACGGCGATGGAATTCCAGATTTCCTGGAAGACGATGATGACGACGATGTTTTGGATTTTCTAGAGTCTTTCGAGCCAGAGCTTTTTGCATCAGAAGAAGAGCTTTTGGGAACCGACGACGAAGTTATTGTTGATCTCGGAGAATCGGATGGCGTCGATGATGATAATGATGTCGATGAAAATGATGATACACCTGACGAAGTTGTTGATGATGATGACGACGATGATGATGATGATGATGATGATGATAATGATGATGATGATGGCGATGACAATGATGATGATGAAGATGATGCTCCAGATGATTTGGAAGTTTCTGACGATGACGAGGAAGTTGAACCGTACGTTGCAGATGACGATGAAAACAATGATGGGATTCCCGATTTCCTTGAAGGTGATTATGACGACAATGGGATTCTTGATTACCTTGAAGATGAAGAATTCATGAGTCATCCTTATAATATTAAGAAATACGGCTGGATGTTGGACCAGGGTGGTGCAAATGCAGGTCAAAGAAAACTTCTGTCAATTGATTTTGCGGAATCAGTAGCAAGCGAGCCATTGAATACGGACTTTGATGGTGATTATGAAAGACTAGTTGTGTATGATGACTTAATTCTAGGAACGAAAACTGGCGGTCAACTATCGAAAGGTGATGATGACAAAAGCGTGGATGCCTCTAGTGTGAAGGAAGAAAATGTGGTTGCGAAAGAAAAAAGTGTGGTTAGGAAAGAAGAAATAAAAGTCGCAGCCAAGTTTCTGTCCAAATCGGATCGAGTATGGGCTGCGGAAATTATGGAAATAGAGGCTCTGATTCACAAGGTATGACTTGAAAATATTAACGAATAAAAAAAAAGATGTTTGAATCATTTTCAATTGTCAACCAGAATTAGCTCGAGACTATCATTTTGTGTTTGATTGCCTGATTTAATGTTCGTAGTATTTACACTTGCGAAGCTAGTGTATTAGTACGAATATATTTTTTTCCAACCTAAGTCGCAAATATTGGCGCGGCACTTTTATGGTGCGGCACCCTAATAATGGTGGGGCACCTTTACAGCTTTTTAATATCATGTGCTTTGACATTCGATTAGTAATAAATAAACACAGCTGATGCATTGTTAATTACAAAAGAACCGCAGAAAAGCTATTCGTTTCAAACAACATTAAAATAAAAAAAAACTCGATTTCAGAAATTTTCCAACTCAATATATCTAGCAATTTTTTGAAATGCATAATTTATACATAATTAAACATTCGCGATTTGTTACATGCAAAGATAGTGTGGATGCCTCAGTTTGCTATATTCTAAATTATTAATTGCAAAATTGAGTCCATTTGTATTTGGTGCTGAATCGCATTGGCAATTTGTTAGCATATGTAGCTGCTTTATTGTGACTAGTGTTTGTCAGTTGTTAAGTTTGACTGGCTGAGGGGATAGTGCGTGAGACTCAAAATCTCTTAATTGCAGTAGGTCGCATATTCCAATCCTACACGTAGCCGAGTTTTGCTTATTTGTGGCTGATTTCTACTTTTTATTGTTTAACTTGATATAGCTGGTTTTTGGTCTCGTTCTCGAAAGTGTATAGTTTCGCCTGTGTACATTTTCTGAAGGCTTGCTTGGATCATAAAGGCGCTTTGAAGCCAGGATCTTGTAAATGTTTGGTTGGTTATGGTATTATGATGGATCATCTAATAAATTTTTCACGTAGTTTAGGAGATAAGGACGATTTTAAAGAGTCAATGAACGTAGTTCAGATTCTCATAAATTTGCGATGATTTTTTTTCGTCTTTTTTTTCAAAAAATTTCTTCAGGCTCAAGTTTAAGTTTCTGCGGTTTGTTTTTGGATTTCTTTTTAAGTTCATTTTGCTTGTTAAAAGGAAGGCAAACGCAAACTCCAATATTGAATATCAAAATTTTGAAGGCCGCGAAAAACGTGATCGACATATAGTAACTAGAAATGAACGTAGTGAAGACTCTTATATAGGTCTTGGTGATTTTTTTCTGGAAAAAGTTTTAAAATGCTCTAATAACTACAGATGTGGATTCATACATATTGATGCATTTATGAATGCGCTTTGGTAAAAATGCATTTTTTGAGTTCAATTGAAATTCATCTGCTGAAAGTTAGGTTAATAGCACTCTCCCAACACGAACGTGGAAATGTCGTTTCGAAAGTGGAATTTAACTTTTAGATTTCCAGCTGAATAAAAACTTTACCTATTGATACAGTTTTCTTAAGTTGGGTTAATGTTATCAGAAAAGCGCCAATCATAAAGTTTTCTAGAAACTCAAAGAGCTTAAATGGCATCTATTTTTGTTCCGACTTTCGATACAAAAGTAACGGAATATTTGTGCTCGGGGTGGGTTTTTTTTTCTTCAGGCAAGTTTCGACTTTTTAACTAGCCATTTTTGACGGAACTTTTTTATATCATTCAAAAGGTATTGTTGTCCTGAGCTTAAATTTGAAAAGATATTTTACCTGTGGTCATTTTTCGTAAAGTTATGAGGGTTTAAAGGTTGCCATTTTGACCAATTTGGGACAAATAACGCGCGATATAATTCGAGCTATTAACGCGTAAGCGGAGATTTAATCCGTCTCAGAAATCGTTCCAAATTGGTTGAAAGAAGCTTATTTGCCATAATTGTTTTGTGTTCAAGGAACGAAATCTATCCTTTTGTACTTTATATGACGTGTGGGGGGATGATTTTTATTTTAAAAAAATTCAAATTAAAAAAAAAATTCATTTTATTTTTTTTTCAATTTATTTTAAAATTTATTACTACTCCATAAACCTTAAAAGGCAGTCGGAATATTCAGGGCTTCGCCCTGATACGAGCAGTCTTGTTTCTTTGGAATTCGAAAGCTGAGATTGTTTCATCAAAGTCAGTGTTTTTTGTTTGCGTTCATTATTCTTTTCCAACTGTCTGTTGGCTATCTATTACTTTTTTATAGTAAAAGAAAGACACATATAGCTAGGGTAGGCGTTTATGCGTCATTAGGTCCCGTTGTCCGTCTTGTTCAAGTCTCATTTAATTCGCTACTAACGATGAAATGCTCAATATATACTTGTGATTGACGGGACAAAATTCTTTCGTTGACAATTTAGGTCATTGGGTGCATTTTTTCGAATAATGTTACCTGTCAATTTTAGATGCGTTGGTTTGATGTAAACTCAACAAGGTAATGTCATCAAACTCTAAAAGGGAATCTGTTTATTAGTCATTATCAATGTAATATCAGACTGTTTGTCAGTATCTGTGCTGATTTCTGCTTAGTCAAGTGAGCTCTATTAAAACCTTCCTCGCTTCACATTTTGGCTCTATTGCCAATGACTCAAAATTACATGGTTGCATTTTTACAAGCAGAAATTAGATTTTAAGTATTGCAGCTCGCCTAAAGGAGTAGCACATTCAATAACTTGATCATCATTGGCATCGGAATTTCTGTTTATTATCTTTTTGGTTAAGTATATCAATAGAAAAAAAAACTTCTTGCAAATAATAGTAATATGAATATTTTTAGAATGAGTTCCAGCAAGCAGTTTCAAAATGCGTCCAACTATCTGAGAAACACGCGAAAAGTGGTTATGTTTTCCTCTTGAAAGGACGAGCTTTGAAAAGTCTGGCTGAATTGCAAAGGAGTAATGAAATACTGAAAAAGGCGGTCAGTGCCTTTGAATCGGCAGCTCATCTTGGATCTAAATCAGACACAACTGATGCGACCAGGATCGAGGGATTTGTTTCGGCTGCAGAGAGTTTAGCTTTTCTAGGTTTGTGCAACCACTGAGATTTGAAATTATTGTTTTGAACCAATCGGTTCAAATACCATTTTTCATTTTGCATCTATTTGCATCATTTTTTTGTGACCACTTAAAATGGGGAGGCACTTTGTCTTCGGGTGCTAATTCCTTTTTACCACGCAAAGTCAGATACCACAAATTGTTTTTAAAACGCGCCGAGTTATATCTCATATTAAAGACTGAAAGACTTGTGAAACGAGACGCGATCGCAATTTAAAATTTCATTTGAAGTTTTCGTAGTGTTTGAAATCGGTTTGAGATTTTTGTTTTTGGTCTAAATTGGTGCGAGTAACCAAAAAAAATCTCGTTGAGCTAGCAAACACTAAATTTAAGAGATCGTGGAAAACTAATTTTTGCGCAAGCGTAGAAATTTTGCTAGAAATCTATATTATCTAATAACGAATATTCAGTCACTTAAAGCACTATTCAGCACTAGTTCAACGGTAAAGCATATCAGAATGTTGTGTCTAGTAACGAAATTCCCCACTTTTGATGTGGGGGAGGGGTAGTTTAAGAGATCCATTGAATCGTATGTGATGTTTCAGGTAAGCCATCTGGCCCTGTGTTGCTGGATGGGATGAGGTTGTACCCAGAGGAGAAGAGACTGGCCAGACTGTACATCGTGAGTCTCCTCCGGACGAACAAGAATGATAAAGCGGAACAGTTCATCCGAGAGGTTTGTGCGGTCCTCAGTATTCTCATAGTCATAAATGACCATCACTGAGAGTTAGTTTCACCAAGATGCACTATTCTTAGAGGGTAACAAGTTGCCTAGTTACCCACCTTACGAATCCGAGCTTTTTAAAATTACCGGGTATGAACCCTTCATAAGATTACATCATAGGATCCACAGTGCTAAAAGCATTGTGGCGGTTACCATTCATGGCACCTCGACACATCGACTGTTGGTTTTCAACACCTCGACTGTTGTTTTGTCGTTTTTTTTGTTTGGCAGCGTTGAATTTAATTCAAAAACAACGAAATGGAGGTATGGAAAGATTAAGTTATTACAGAGTCTATCATGAAAGGGTTTGCAAAACAAAACGAAGAAAGAAAAGACAGAAAAGTTCATTGCACAGCTTGAAATTAGCCAGACTTCATTAATGGATGTAGTGGATTCGTTGGTTTGTGCGTCTTCAGTTCGGTTTTAATCCGTTACATCTTCTGGAGTAAGCGTTTATTTTTAAACATGTGAGTACGATGATCAGGCGCAGGGTGACCACTTGGTCACTATTTGGTCACTATTTTTCAATGGTCACTAAAATTCATTATTTACAATGGTTTTTGGTGACGGACCCTAAAATTTTTCTAAAGGCGCCTTTGGTGCCAATATATACTAACTTTGAGGGGGAAGCGCGCGCCGAAAAAACGCATTTTTTTCAAAATTCAAAAAGTGCCTAAAACTGACTTTTTCAGTTTGTTTATTTAAAATTATGCTTGCGGCGCAGAAATTTTGGCCAAAAAAGGGACATTTTAATGCTTTGGCAGAGCTTGAAAAATTAATTTGGTCGACCTGATCAGGCGTATTTATCCTTTACCATCTAACTCACTTTTAGCTCAAGATAAATGCCAGATGACTGTATCAGTTAGCGTGTCTGTTTAGAAACTGGCCGCGAATCAAGACGTCGCTTTCAACCTAGTTCACCTTGGCTACATATTAGACCACAAGGGCGATTATGAAGACGCAGTTAGAAGTCTAGAGAAGGGTCTTAGAATGAAATCTGAAGGCGAGCATGAAGATAAAGAAGTGCATGAGGGTCGTATGTACCAGGCATTGGGAGACGCTCTCATCAGATTAAACAGGAAACCAGAGGTTTGCGTGGCTTTTAGTATAACAAGACGTTTAACATATAACACTTATAATTACATTGCATCTTGTTATGAAGTTTGACATGCGTGGCAACTTCTCTGACTTCCAAACATGGATCCACTTAACAATTGATCCCTCTTTCAAGAAAAAAAGGGGGGGGGGGGCAATTATTTACTAGGCAAAGTTGTCGAATTTTCGACCAATCAGGTTGCAGCAAAATTCGAATTTTAATGCAACGCTCTAGTGCTATTTACTGCTTTTATTTACAGGGTGGTAATTCTTTAGTAGATACCAAAGGCAGGTTGATTGATAAGTAGATCACCATACACATATGGTCTTGTGCAGTCTTGTAATATCATTGGCCTGCAGACCAAGTCCAATTTTGATTGTGGCGGGGAAACTGTAATTGCGCAGAGATTCGAAGCTTGAAGATATTTACCATACAATAAGAACGATGAATTATTTAATAACACTCGGTGGGTTTTCTTAAGAGTAATTCTATTTAACAAACGGGATACCTAAATGGTGAAATTGTGCATGCTGAAAAAATGGCGAAGTACAAATTTTCTTATTGTTTTTTATCTGGATAAATGATAAGGACACAGAGAAAGTAGATATGTTCAATTTATTGCGTTCTAAAGTTGAAAAAGAGATTAAGATGGCTAAGAAACATTTTTATCAAAATAATTTTGAAAGTTGTATCGGAGACTCAATACAAGTTATTAAATGATCTAAAGGGTAGCTCGATTAAGTCTACAGTTTTCCCTGCTATAAAGTGCGATGAGTCATGCGAAGTTCTTTCGAAGCAAGAGATAGTAGAAATTTTAATGACTATTTTAACAACTGTTGCTCGAAACATCACGGAAACTCTGAAATCGTTAGACCCTATGGTTCCTGAACCGAAGGGTTTTTCGTTCTATCTGAGTAAAGTTTCAGTTAATGAAGTCTCAAATTGCATATCTGACTTATCAGTGATGATATCATTTGCAATATTCTAATTAAGGTCTCGAACATGTGCATTGCGCCATTTATCATAGAAAAAAAACCTGTCTTTTGGACAGAGCATTTCCTGAGGAACAATCAGAAGCAAAAGTTTTCCCACTGCCTAAAACTGGGTCAAAGACTGATTTAAATAATTATCGCCTGATATTTATTTTGAATTCACTAAGTAAAATTTGCGAACGCTTAGTGTACAACAGAGTTTAAAAATTCTTGAATGATTAGAGTTATTTTACGATAAAGAATTTAGGTTTCGTTCAAAGCATAGCACTATTGATGCTCTTGCCGAATTAACTGAAAAAATAAAGTATCAGTAAAATTTCGGAAGTTCAGTTTTTACTCAAAGAGCGTTTGATACCATATATCATCAAAGTCTTCCCAATTAGTAGTAGTCGTAGTAAAAGACTCAAATGGGAGTTACAAAATTTTTGAACAAGATAAAATTGAATGAAAAGACAGCGACAACATTAAAAAAACCTATTTCAGAGAAATTTACTAAATTAGTTTTAGTAAAAGTTATGCGCTGGATGTATACGGTTCTGCAGTGCTTCTCATGCTGCAGTTTTATATTGATGACGGGTCTATTAAGTTGAAGTTGAATAGTTGAACAAAATCGTTGGTAAAATCGAAAGCTCTGAAAAAAAGACGACCCTGACAACTGCTTCTGTGCAATCCGATTCTTCAATCGAAGAATCTGGGTGCTCCGAAGGTTCCGCTCCGATGTTTTGAGGCAGAAATGATCATCAAAATGAATGCAGTTGATGAGCTCGTACGAAATTGGCAAGTAATTCGAATATTCGAAGAGAATACAATAAGGTAACCGTCCATATGACCACCTAAGTCTCTGGTAATTAAGCCGTTCTAACTTATGAATGGAGCAATCACTAGGAAACCAAAATAGATTCCCATATTTCTTGGGATGCTATGTCCCGGATAATTGGAAACTCGTCTAGCTTTTAAAAGTTTTTAATTAATGTGTTCGTCCCACTTCAAATTTGTGTGCACTTCGAGCCCAATATCAGTCAGTCCTTTTCTACTCTATTTCACTGTTTCTCACAAACAACTTCAGGTCTTTAATAGCATTCAAGTGAAGGAAACAACTTTTTCCAGTGTTAAAACTCAGTTGATTATCAGACGCCCACAACTTTAAGACATCTAAATTGTCTTGCAAGTTTTGATTTAAATCAGATCCTGTTGCTAATAATTTAGTGTCACCGGCATAACAATAAAAGAAAGCTTGAAGATTCCGGTAAACAAGAATATCGTCAATGAAAATGAGGAAAAAAAGCGGTACCAAAACATTCTCAAAACACTTCCTCGAAGAACTCCATTGTAACAGGTTAAATATTGGACAGCTTTTCCATCTACATTCACCCTCTGAGAACTATTTTCAAGATAAGAAGACAATAGATCAATAAATTTTTCATCAAATCCAAATCTATTTAATTTAAAAAGGAGGTGAGAATGGTCAACTGTGTCGAAAGTTTTGCTGAAATCTAAAAAAACAACGGAAATTATGTTGACGAGAGTTGATTTTATCTTGAAATGCAAAATAAATGTGGTCAAAAAGAAATTTGTCAAGAATAAGAGACAATATGAAAAGCAAAGAAATTGGGCGATAGTTTTCAATAATTGCTATTGATTTCTTTTTGTGGACTGACGTTGTGTGCTCATTTCCATGTTTCAGGCCATTTTTTTAATTATAAGTACTTAACTAAATAATGAGTAAACATGGGAAGATGGAATGTTAACACCGCTACATACAAAAAGGGGTGGGAGAGAATCAGAGGCTGTTGCAGAGCTACGCCTTAATCGACATATCCGTTTTTGAACATCTTCGACTGTTAGTACTAAGTGATTTGAAATAACTACAGGCTGCTTACAATTATTAGAGTGGGCAGTTGCCGCGCCTACGAGGTAAACAGAGTTGAATTATGTATTAAAAGGTTGTGCTTTCTCGGAATATGTGGCTGCTTGTGTAGCGGTTAAAAACATATTTGACGAAAACGATTTTCTAGAGTCATTTTTTTTCAGCAAATAAAAATCTTAGTGGTTGTGTATGTGCTCGATCGAGAGAGCAAAGTAATCTGATCCAATTACTTGCGACTTTGTTTCGTTTTTAAGTCGTCTGATTCGATCAACATTCGTCGAGCGACGCCTAGAGCTTTTGTACATGTTAAGGAAATAAATAGTTACGGAGGTGTAATAAATTGGGAAATTATTCCGTTTTCTACGTTTCTGTCGGATTGATGAATCCCGCGCAGTTTTTGTACGCGCAGACCATTTTTCTGTACAGTTGCCTAGGGGATCAAAACTGGAATTCAAAAAACTTTGGTTCATTTTAGTGAAAACTTGTTTGTCAAAAGACCGAATGCTGAAAACTTTTTCGTCGGTCCGTCGTATCACGTTAAAACAGATTTAGATAATGGATCAGAGATCTTATCTTTTAGGACATAATTATCCCATTCTTCAACATGGGAAAGGAAAACTTAATCTAATATGTTGCCAAGTCTGTGTGTTGGATTGCGAATAATTTGATTCAAGCTTGTCATTTAAAAAGAATTTCGTTTAATTAAAGTCACCGAGTACCATTAGTTAGAGGGTCTCAGAGTCAAATTTTGCCAGATGACCTTCCAGAACCTTCAAAAGTAGTTCTCGAATAGAGTGCTCAACAAGTCCCGGATGAATATAGAATGACGACCCACGGGGTGCGAGGTATAACAAAACAATAAAGTAAAACAGTCGGTTGAGGTTAAAGAGGACACTAGAGTAGAAGTCAAATATGTTTAATTCGATAATTTCAAATTCGCAGCGAATGTGTCACTGAACGCCATTAATATGCCACCATGTAATCCATAAGATCTGTTACTCCTACACACGCACGTGTATGCGTGACCTAGAAACTGAGATGAATCGCCGACGGAGGATTGAAGCCGAGTTTTGGTTAAACAAAAAATCGAAGGGCTTTGCAGAGAAATACTGTCAAGAATCTGAAGCATTTTTCTATTGAATGAAAACTTTGACAGTTGAGCAAAAATACGGATACAGAATCTTTCGCGCGAAGTCAATATTCCTCTTAACTTTGATTCTGAACTTTTTAGAAGGATTGTCGACTTCTAATTTACGTTTTTCTTCTCGCAGTTCGTATTGGTTTGGCAGTTCAGTGGGAGTCAGATCAGATTAATGAACACATTTTAGAAGTTTACTGAGAAACGTAGCTTTTGAGCCGTGCGAAGAAACTCTTTTCTCAATATTGTAGGCTTGAATTTCAGGAGTAGAAATTGGCGTCCTGTCTGTTCATGGCAGTTCTACATCATCATCTCTTTACTTCCATTCGGAGAATTGTCATTACTTCCATTTGGAGTTCTGCAGAATTGTCTTGAATGAGAGTCTGTTTGATTTTTGCTGGGAACAATTCCTTTCAGAATAAGGATGCTTTTTCGAATTTTGCCAGTTCTGCAGAACTGGCGTCGCTCATTTGAGACTAGAAGCGAGCAGAACTAGAAATTTGGAGGAGTCGCTCGTTCTGCTCGCTTAATTAACTAGCTTCTTTGCGGATTACGTGATATTGCTCTCAAATGGTTTGAGAGCTATTTGAATCAGCGTAAACTTGTTGAATAATCAAATATTACATCATCGTTGCGATCTGTTACTTGTGGAGTACCACAAGGATCAGTATTAGGATGTTTGTTATTCCTGATACAAATCAACGATTTGCCGTCTCCGAGCAAAAATGCTCAGGTGTTCCTTTTTGCAGACGATACGAATATCAGCTCACTGGGACCTAGATTTTCTAGTATTGATACTGATCTTGACAACTGGTTATCTGCAAATAAACTAGCCTTAAATCTCGATAAAACAGTTCAGCTTACTATTGGGTGCAGAGCGTCTTGTATTTTTGAAATAGCCGGTTTTCCTCTGAAGCGTGAGTCCAACTGCAAATTTTTAGGAATTTATATTGCCTCAAAATTGTCAAATACACATTCAACATATCTCCAAAATGGCTAGTCAATGTGGCCTTGTATGTAAACTACGGGATTATGTTTATCGGGATCAGTTGATAAAATATTACAAATAAAAAATCAAACCCATTCTGCATTATGGAATTCCTATTTTTCATTTTGTAGACTTTGACCCTGTTCATAGAGATGGATTTTTTGAATAATAATGAATTGAGTAATTTTTTTCCCTAAAGATCCATAGTATAGTGGCTAGCAACTGGGACTTGAACCCTTGGGGTTCGGGTTTGATTCTCGACTGGAACCCTTGATATTTAATGCCTGGATGAAGATAGTTGCACAAAGGAAGGGAAAAAATCAGAGCTATAAGCAGGGTAATCAGGGTGGTAGGGAAAGGAAAAGAGGAGGAGGGTAAATCAAAATAGGAGGTGGGGAATGAAATAATTGTGAAAAGAAGGGAAATTGTTTTGATTTTGGACAGTTCTTTAGTCTAGTGGTATAATGCTTGATTTCAGCTCAGGAAAAAGGGGTTCGAATCCCAGTTTAACTTTATTTTTATAGTATTTTACTTAAGTCCGACTGGTATAATACTATAATACTAAAGTCCGATTATAGTATTATACTAAAGTCCGACAGTCGGACTAATAGTATTATTATAATAGTTATTATTATGATTATCATTAATAACTACTTTCAAAACAAATATTGTTTGAATCTTCTGTTGCTCACGGTAGATTCAGAGCAGATCAGCTGATCTCGTTATTCACCCTCTTCAAGTCGCTATCCATTGCTGTAGTTTGTTTATTTAGTTAAATCAAATTATTTTGACTTGAATGAATTTCCTTTTTATCGAGAATGTACAAATTTTACTTTGAGTGGAGTTTAAGCTGGAAGTACTCATAGTTTATTTTGAATTTTTATCGGTGTTGTGATAAATTTAACTGAAGATTTGAGATTACCTTAGTACCTGTGATTATTTGAAATGCGTATAACAACAGTCAGTTAATGTCCAAGAGAAAACAGAAACAACCTTCGATCATGTTATTTTCTTGGCATTATCCCCCACCCTCGGGTACCTAATTACGAATATCCCCCCATTTAAGCATATGAGAATTTGATGCCTTGTAACGAATATCCCCCCTTTTGCAAAAGGGGGATATAGTTAAAGAGATCCTGAAAAACAAATAGACATTCAACAATTAATGATGTTCTCGTGTTATTTTGCAGGCAGACAATTGGTTCTCATTTGCAGCTAAGAAAGGAATTTTCATCTCTCAATATCAAAGATCTCTCTACAATGCACCGAGACCTATCAAAGCACTTCCTTGGTGGTCGATAAATGATGCCAGCCAACCGATGCGAGATGGAATTGAGGTACAAAAATGTTATGAATAGCTTAAAGACAGTAAGAGTAATTGCGTTATTGAATGCCAGTGTTTCTAGATAGTAGTATAGGTAAGAGTTTAGTAAGGCTTTTTCGAACTCTTGGGGAGCGGTGGTGAAGTGGTTACGTCTCCGCCTCTTAATCGAAAGGTCGGATGTTCGAGGCCCACCATGATCCGTGCTCGTTGCTTGAGGGTGAAGCAACATTACCCAGCCCAGAAAAATAACCAAAAAAATTGCATGTAGTTCTTAAACAGGGGCACAACAACGGTTCGCCGTGATGAGCTGTACAGCTCTTGTGTTGGTCCTTTCCCCCGTGGATAAATGGTCTCATTGTTAACTCAGTATATAGACGTAAAAACAATTTTCCTTCGGTTTTTCGTTTTTTTTTCTCTCGTGCTTAGGTTGGACTAGAATTTGGATCGAACTTTCCTATTTTTATTCAACTATTACTTAATTTAGATATTAAAAATTGCGTCGCCTATTTCAGCTTCTGGAAAAGAACTGGCTCAAAATCCGAGACGAAGTGACTCGCATCATGAACCAAAACACTGGTTGGTTTATACATTCAACTGTTGGTGCGTTAAATGGATCTCTTTTACTATATCCCCCCATGTACCTTGTAGCGAATATCCCCCCTATAAAGAAATGAATCAACGAGTAGGCAAATGAGAATTTTATTATTAGTAACGAATACCCCCCCCCCCCCCCCCCCCACGTAATGCGGCAACTCGCAAGAAAAGACAACTCGCAATAAAAGACAACTCGCATTAAAAGACGACAACTCGAAAAATTATCATAGCCGCAGTCACGCCAACGTGTTGCGAGCTTGCCAACAGAGGGTAGGACTTTATACGATATTTAGAGCCGGTTATCGCCGCAAAGCGGCGGCGACGCGCGCGTAGCGCGCCCACCGGCGACCTTAAACCGAGAACGTAAAGTTTCCAATTGCCTTCAAAAACTTGCGAGTTGTAGCTTTCCTTAAATTTTGCGAGTTGTCTTTTCGTGCGATTTGGCGTCGTACCCCCCCTTTGCATAAAGGGGTGGGATATGGTTAAAGACATCCCTTAAATGATTGAAACAAACTTGGAATGAACACAAATATTAGATTTTAGGTCTTAGAAACCGTTGTTTTAATACGTTTGCATGCCACCCAATCAACCGTCTCCGAAAACATAATAAATACATGGACAACTTTTTTGTGAACGAATGGAAAAAATCTATTTTTATCAGCAAAGTTTATTTTTGTTTGCTCTGAACATTATGTGCAAACTGACCAGATGTTGTGTTTTATAACCAGTCATCGTGAGAGCTATGTTAAAACTGATCTGTTGATTTGGTATTTCCTGCAGGTGCGTTCGAGGCCGAGACGGAGGGGCTGCAGAAGGAGGGCGACTGGAGACAGTTCACTCTGTTCCAGAGGGGAAGAAAGGTGAAGAGTGCCTGTGAGAAGACGCCCTTCACTTGTGAACTACTCAGGCGAATACCAGATGCCACCTCTTGCAAAAGAGGACAGGTCAGAAGAAGTCTTTTCTCGTATACGGCCCAAAGTTGCGAAATTGCCACATTGCAGCTTCTGTTGTTAATGAGAAAATCTTGATTTATTTTGCTGAAAATAGTTGTTAATGATTTCAACCAATAAACTTTGAGAGTTATGATGCAATTTTCAAAATAACAAAAAGATCAGTTTCGGGCCGTATAACAGAAAACACCCCAAAAAAGGAGTGATTGTTGTCTTCTGTACATTATTGAAAAGAAAAAGTTCAAGAACATAATACGAAATATTTTGTTTTTATCGCTAGAGACACTGATTAAGATTGTTCAGCTTAATGAGTAATCCTATATAGGTCTTGCTGATTTTTTTTTCAGGAAAAAGTCTTAAAATTTGTTCACGCTCAATTTTGATTTTTCGCGGTCTGACTTGTGATTACTTTTTAAGTTCAGTTGTTAAAAGGACGACATAATCCACTATCGAACAACAAAAGTTTAAAGTTCACGAAAAACGTGATCGACTTCCAAGTGAAATTTAATTTTCAGTTTTCCCAGCGAAATAAAAAATTGAACATATTGATTGAGTTTTTTCAAGTTGGGTTAATTTTATCAAAAAAGTGCCAAACATAAATTTTTCTCGAAATTCCAAGAGTCTTAAGATCATATAATTTTCTCTTCGAAGTTAAAAGGTTGAAGGTTTTTAAAAAAAAACAAGTCGGTTTTTTTTCCAGTTTCGTTGCGTTTATTACAATTTTGCAACTTTTCATTTTTGTTTAAGTGTCAGTGAACGAGTGAAGACACTTATTGAGGTTGCGTAGTTTTTTTCGCGAAAAGTAATTGAATGTTGCTCACGCTCAAATCTTTTTTCGTTCCGACCATTGAACATGGGGAGGAGCTTTGTATTCGGGTGTGTTTTAGTTTGTTTTCCTCGCAAAATCAGATATCACAAATAGTCATCGGACTGTTTTGAGTGATATTTTATATTAAAGCCCTTACAGTCATGAAGGAACCACGTAAACATATTTCAAAAAAGTTTTCACAGTGTCGAGAAAAACCGATTTGAAATTTTTTATTTTTCGTCTTCGAGCGAATAAAGCGAGCGAGCAGTTTTATTTTAATTGATTAATTGCTTAAAAGCTTACATTGGCTTAATTTAAAACGTAAAAGCGTAGTCTTACTTAGGTAATGTTTATTTACTTTGAGTGTTTAAGCGCCTCTAGTGGGATCAAATTTTTCAAAATTTAAAAAGTTCAGCTCCTTTTATCACACCACGCCACAAAACGACAATAATTTGAAATAACTTGGTTGTATTTTTTAAGACTATAGTTATTGTTGTTGTTGTCGTCTTCATCTGGTCGTGGGGCGCTCATCCCTTTCCACGTCGTCATGAGTTGTTGGGAGTTTCAGAAAACCGGCCGCATCCACGGGCCTTGTCCAGAGTGATATCGTGGTTAGAGATGAAGGGTTCGAAGGGCATGAGAATAGGTGGACCGTCGTGTGGCTTGTAGAATCGCAGAGGGGTCATAGTTCTGACGATGACGGGTCTATTCTATGTTGATATGAGTTTAGGAATACGCTGTAACTACAGCGGAGCTGCGATAGTGTCCTCCTCGTCGTTCTTGGCAGTTTTTCCTCTGATTTGTCTATATTCGGGACTGGCGCGTTTAAGATTGCAGAGTCTTCGAAATTGGCGCTCGTGTCTTCTACTTCATTTGTGTGGATCTGTTTGAGCAAGCTTTTGTTTGTAATTGTCGTCTGATACAGATCTTGTGGGTCCGAATGTCGTCGTCGTCTTAGAGGGCTGAGATGAAACGCTTGTATCTGAAGTGTAATGTGGCCTTCATCTATCGTCTGGTGGGAGTAATGGCATTCAACAGACGTTGCCCAGGGTGGTCTGTCAGATGATTCGCTAGCTGCATCTGCACCGAGCGCATCCGGATGTGTCGTCTGATGGGCAGGATCATGCACTCACTGTGGAGGTGTTCGATCGGTGACATCAGATGGCATCCGGTGGCGATACGGAGAGCGGAATTCTGGACAGTCTGGAGACGGTTGATGTTTTTGTCCGCGATGGTGGGTGCCCACACTGGTGCCACGTATTCTGGAACCGGTCTGACGATGGCTTGGAAGGTTGTCAGGAGCTTTTCCTTGCTTTGGCCCCAGGAGGTCCCAGATAGCGCTTTCATTATGTTGACTCGACCCTTGGCCTTAGCTGCGGAGTTCTTGTAGTGCGTTGTGAAGGTGTGCGCTGTGTCAAAAGTGACACCAAGGATCTTCGGCGTCTTCATAAGGTCCAACGCAGGTTGTTTATCACGATCTTAGGCGTTAACTTGTGTTCTTTCGTGTTCGGTGTGCAGAGAGTAACTGAGCATTTTGGCGTGGATATTTGGAGATTTCTTTCCCCCAGGAAGCGACAAAGGGTCTCCAGGTATCGGTTTTGATGTCATACGTCATCTGCGCAATGTCGTTACCAACTGCAATAATCGTGAAGTCATCCGCGTACGAAATACGAAAAAGTGGCGCTGGTGGAATTGGCGCGTCAGATACATAAAAATTGAAGAGCGTAGGCGCGATGACAGAGCCTTGGGGGACACCCGTTCTGACGACGCGGGCGCTCGACAGGACATCTCTGAACAGGGTGCGGGCTTGACGTCCGTGGAGATAGGTCGACAGCCAGCGTACCACAGCTCCTGGCAGTGTCGTCTTGTTGACGAGATCGAGCAGAGTGGTGTGACAAACGGTGTCAAAAGCTTTTGACAAGTCCAAGGCAACCAGAATGGTTGTGGGCGGGCTTAGGTTGGTTGAATCCGTTGGCGATGGCTGTGGACAACTCGTTAAAGGCCGTAACAGTTGAATGTCTGGGCCGGAATCCGTGTTAGTGCTCTGCTAGCTTCATGTGTTCATTCAAGGTGGGAAGGAGGCACTTTTCTAGAATTTTGACAGCTAGACAGAGAAGGGAAATTAGTCTGTAGGACGCACTTTCATCTGCAGGTTTGCCAGGCTTCAGAAGAAGCAAGATGATCGATGGCTTCCAAATTGCTGGTATCTGAGACCTCGACATCGACGTGTTGAAGAGTTCTGTGAGGAACTGGAGAGCACGTGGTCCTAGGTGCTTCGGATGGATCATAGTGATGTCATCGGGGCCGGCCGCGTTGGAGCTCTTTGTTTTCATGATAGCTAGGCTGACTTGGGAGGCAGTGAACGTCGGGCTGTCTGACAGGGAGCGTTTTTTGGATCGCTCTTGTGATCGCGCGGTAGTCTTTGGAGTACTGGTGGATGTGAACTGCTTGTTGAATTTGTTGGCAATGTCCTGAGGTGACGTCAGAGTACGTTTCTTCTTTTCTTTTCTTCTGAATTTGATCGGCTGGTTGTTGCGACTCTGAATCTTGTTGTCCAGGGCTTTGATCACTTTCCAGAGCTGCGTCGAGTCGGTGCGGTGGTCGAAGGTTGCCAGAAACTGTCTCTATATTTCTCGGTCTTCGATTGCCTGATCATCATCTGGATCCGGTTGTTCAGAATCGGGATCTCGAGTGACTGGGAATTCGACAACCTGATTTCATCTCGCTGTTTCATCAGTTTGGAGGCATCATCATGTAGCTGAGGAGTGACTAGTGGCCGACGTCCAGAAGGGATATGGTGCTTGCCTGCTGCCACAATGACCATGCGGAGCAGGAGTTCCCCCAGGTAAACGTCCTTCTCGCCAAGGTTCTCAGAAAAGGTTGCTTCCACCTCAGCTTCGAAGGATTTCCAGTCAGCCTTGAGGATGTTGGTGAAAGTTCTTTTGGGAGCCTTTTGGAGGATTGTGGATGTTTGAAGTTCGATCAAGATCGGCAGGTGGTCGGAGTTCAGCGTTGTCTCGGTCCGCAAGCTTGCAGAAATGAGGAGCTCATGGGAGGCCAAAAATATGTCTGGAAAAGTGGCCTGCGCGTCGCTGGGGAGGCGTGTGGGGGAGTCTGTATTGAGGACGCCGAAGTTGGAGTTGGCAATTTCTGTCGCCAGAGAGATCCCTCTGGGGTCCAGGATGCTTGAGTGCTAGGATCCGTCGTGGCCATCGCCAAGGACAACCCCGTGAGAGAGCAGGAGCGGTTGGATAGACGCGGTGTAGTTGTCTGGGCAGCTGCTTTTCGGTGGGATGTAGAAATTGACGAATTGTTGTTGAATTTCACTTTGATGGCCATGGCTTCCATCGTGCCGTCGTTGGCATTAGCGGGCTCAACACGGGTGAATAGAACGCTTTGGTGGATCAGGAACGCAAGCCCGCCACCTTGTCGCCCACCTGGTCTGTCTTGGCGGATAAGCGTATACTGGGATCCTAAGTTCGGGGGTTTGCTCTTCGGTCCGAGTTTTGTCTCCTGTAGGGCAGCAATTTTCACGTCTGTGGAGTGGAGGTAGGCTGCCAGCTCCGTGACTTTGTTCCCAATGCCGTTGCAGTTCCATTGCATAATATTCATTCTCGTTGGCTCTTCATACACGGATGCCCGCGTTGGCACGAACTGGGTGCAGTTTTTGCAGTTCTACCCAGGGGTCCAGTCTTTAGGAGACCGGAACGAGGTGCAGGGAATGTGACTGTATTGGTGGCAACCTGCGCATTTGATGCTGCCCTGTTTTTGATCGCTTTATTGCAGGTGCATCATTTCACTCTGGGGCCGGGGTTCACTTCAATGCTGGCGCGGATAAGTAGAATTCGGAGCAGAGATGCCGGCGTAGTCTGCTCCGCTCCCAAAAACCCCGCAACGTGGTCGTGGTAAACGCCTCTCTTCCTGTTGGAAGGAGGGGGTTAGGCCCGGCTTCGTCTCCTTGCGGAGAGTCTGCTGGGCGGCCATTTGCACCATGGTCGCCCCATGGTGATGGTTACACTTGCTCGAAAGTGTCCACGTGGATTGCGGATACCTCTTGCATAAGCGGCCTTCGCTGCAACCTTAAGCTGAAGATCGTTATTGTGGAGCGTTATTGTCTTTCCTTCTAGAATACAATTTGGTTTGAAATTTAGCCGGTTACTGTGCAAGTGCTTCCACCTCGGCTTCGAATGATTTCCAGTCAGCCTTGAGGATGTTTGTGAATCTGTGGGCAATTTCTGTCGCGGTGGTCGAAGGATGTGAACTGGTTAAGACTATGGTCGGAACATTCTGTGCTACTTGCACAGTAACCGGCCAAGTTTCAAATCAAATTGTATTCTAGACGGAAAGAAAATTACGCTCTACAATAACGATTGTGCAAATGGCTGGAAAAGTGATTGATTTTTACTTTCGAATATGGACTTTTATTTGAAAGGTGTTCATTAAGTAGTCAATTATTATTTTTTGTGGTTTCCAAATGTTTTTTGGCTATGATTTAGTTTTCCTTGATTTTTTAAATATCAAAATGCAAGTTTTGTCCAATTGCCGACAGACCAATAAGTTAATAGAGTGGAAGATAACTATTTTGGGTTGATAATATCCGCTGTAATTTTTTTTTTGAATCTTCTGTGCAGATCAAGTTCTCGGTGATGAAGGCTGGCACTCATGTGTGGCCCCATACTGGCCCCACCAACTGCAGAATCAGAACCCACTTGGGACTCATAATCCCCCCAGGACCCAAACTCAGAGTAGCCACCGAGACCAGGTAACCAAAAAGGAAGAAGAGTTCAACTTAAGAAAGTGATAGATGTTGGGGAGGAAAAAATTAGCTAGAGGGTTGTAAAATAGTATTTTAACCCACTGTCACCAATTTTCTCGTTCTCTTGCTTTAAAACAGTTGTATTAAAAGTATGGTAATTGTCAAACTTTCTCTGAAAATGAAAGAGCGTTAATTCGATATTTGTTTTGGAAAATTAGCTGGAAAAAATCTTCATCCTTGTTTGTGTACACTTTTGGTTGTTTATCTGTGTGTAGGGAATGGGCGGAGGGCAAAATGATCTTGTTCGATGACTCATTCGAACACGAGGTCTGGCACAATGGGAACAGCACACGACTGGTTCTCATAGTGGACTTCTGGCACCCAGAACTAACTCTGGACGAGAGGAGAACACTCACCCAAATCTAGAATCGAAGAATAAGACTAACTTCTATTTTGGACAATAAGAAAGATTCAAACGGAGATTTTTAGACAGACGGAAAGTATTTAAACAGACAAGCAATTTAAACAGAAAGAAAAAAGTGGAATTGGATATACCAGGACAGCACTTATGAATACTTAGATCAGAAATATTCATACTGAACTTAAAAGAGAACGCAAAAATGTAAGTGGAAATAATATGCGAACGAAATATTTGGGCTTGTAATTTGAAAGAAACTAGTTGTTCTTTCCAGCTGAGCCTTGCTACTATGCTTATGTGCAATATTTTCTGAAAACTCGAAAATTTGTTTCTATCTTCAATCCTTCATTCATGTTTTTTTTTTTAAATTAAAATGTAATTATGATCACAAACTTTAAATATCACGATTGATTTGAAATCTGCATTGAGTTCTTGCATTGATCTGATTTCTTTAAAAATTTGCTGTCAAAGAATTAATTCAGTGCCTTACTTACTTTACATGTGCTACTTATGCATAAATGCTTACAAAATATCAATTCTCGAATGTCGCAATTTTTTCCTGTAATTTGAAACTTGTTCGTAATTCACGATGTTCATAATGTAATTCACAGCGTGTTTTTATCTCGTGATGATTTTCTTATCTTTAATTCTAATAGTTGCACACTTTCGAATATTTTGCCCATCTAATGCTTTAAATCTATGTCTTATTTTACTCCTTTTGCTTCTATGGCACAATCAAGGGTATTACAAAATTTAACCTAATTTCTGCTTAGATTAACCTTCAATTTTAAATTCAATTGAAATGTATTATTCGAAATTAAAATTTATTTGACTTAATTTTCTTGTATTTTGAAAGAAATATTTGATTGTAGATGATAATTTTCGCGAAGGTTTATTTGCTCCGACGCTAGTTATATCATTTTTTTTTTCGCGTTTCGACTTTTGTTTTCTTTACCCTTGCGATAAGCAATGTTATTGCAATCGAGAACTAGACTTTTTTCCGTAAATAACGTAATCCTGTATTCATCTATTGGACCTTTCTGTTGCAACGGGCATAATTTGACCATGTTATCATTTTAAATGTATGGTCTAATCAAAATTTGCTCTTTTATGTTGGTTGTAATTTTACAACTTGATTTGTTGAAATTTCATTTTTTTTTTCAAATTTTTGTCTTTTTTTTCGGCTTAATAGGATTCAGCTTATTTGTCTTGTTGGCCGAGAAAAGTGTTTGTGTGTGTTCTCAGAGAATTTTAAATTTTTTTTTCGGTGTGAAGGGTTTCTGCTCAGGTTTTTTTTGTCATTATTATAGCTTGTTAATTACGCTTGGGATTAGCAAGCCTTTCGAACTGGAATATAGACTTCTATAGGCGGGGCTAACAACTTGTTAAACAGAATCACTTGAATCACTTAAATCTTTGTTCATAATGAATTCAAATTTCTATGCGTTCCCGGCCAACTTAGCCTGGAGGGAACGAAGAAGCCTCAGACAGCAAAGGTCATGGGTACGAGTCTGACCAGGACTTTTTTTTAATGGGAACTATTCTCTTTCAAATAAATTGTCGGCAAATAATTTTTTGCTCATCTGTTGTCGACTAAGTTGTCACGTCTTGACTTGAAATCGTTCTTTTTTGCTGCGCGCATCTTTTTTGAATGTTGCTTTTAGTGTTTGATTGAATCCTAAGGGCTGCAAATGAACTTCATCCGATACAAATATGAAGTTTTTTAGCTGTAATTTTTCAGTTTTGTCCATTTATTTAATTTTTTCAACATAATCCCTGTGCTATAAATTCAAAATCAATCAACCGTCCAGCACATGTGGCGTAGAGGTAACACAACTAAGTGAGGCAGTATTCGAATCCGGCCAGGACCTGTTTTTTGCAAACTTGACTTGTTATGCTTTTCTGACTTTCGTCCGTCTGTTATTTTTAGTTACCGGAACCCGATTTTTTGACGGTTCAGCTGCTGTATCACCAATGCTCGACGACAAAGCCCGAAAGATCGATTGAAGTCGGGTTTTTAAGTGTTCGACTTTTTTGCTATTTGTGATTTCTTGACTTTGTATATTTTTAAGAGTAATGAACGTAGTAAAGACTCTTATGTAGGTCTTGCTGATTTTTTTTTTCAGGAAAAAGTCTTAAAATATTGATGTACTTAGGTATAATGCACTTTTTGAGTCCAATTGAAATTCATCTGCTGAAAGTGACGTAAATTGCACTCTCCAAATACGAACGTGGAAATGGCGCAAAAAACATGAACGATTTCTAGTTTCGAAAGTGGAATTTAATTTTTAGATTTCCAGCGCAATAAAAACTTTGCGGGTGGGGGGACTCGTTAGCTTTTAATAGGTCATAGAGGGTTAGAGGGTCATGTATTTTCGGCTGTTACAACTTGATAATTTTTCTTTCGATGCGAATTTCACATTCTGTTGTCGTGGCATGTTTTTTGTTTTAAAACTAGCTTGATTCATTTTGATAGATCCAGTTTTTTCGACATTTTCGATTGTTTGCGGACTTAGCTGCTTTTTTGTTGTGCTTCGCCTCTGTGTCCCAAAATTATGAGTGCAAAAATTGTGGACTTTTTTGTTTTCAGATATGTTGAACAAACCACTATCGAACCTGCCCTTAATTCTATCCTGTTGTTGCAACAATGTGAACAATCTATCCAATATAGTGACTAAACGTGGTCTTTTATTCTACACAGATCACAGGATGAAAAGGGATCATAAGAGACGCCAGATTGTAGCTACTCATGCCGAGGAAAGAAGGGTGTTGGAGTCTATCATAGCAGCAGAGGGTATCTTGCCTGAACAATTTAGGTAAGTAAGCACCGAACTGGTAGCTTAATGAAGATACATCGGTGTCGAGATTAGGACTTGGTTAGCTCTTAGAGGTGAACCGCTTCTGTTCCCGCGCTAATTACACAATCAAGGCTTGTGTTATAGTATGAACTCTTTTTTTTTCAACCTAAGTCGCAACTTTTGTTGCGACGCAAATAGTGTTGTGACGAAATGTGTTCGTTTTGAAAGTGTTCATTTTGATCAATAACCAGTTATTAAGTAAAGCCAATCCTAAGGATATTAGCACAGACTATTATATTACAAATAGCACTTTAGCTTCAAGGTATCATGGATCTGTAGCGTAGTAGAGTTAGGGAAGGAGACCCGCAACAAAATAAGAGGGTTCGAACCTGGGAAGGATCGGATGTTTTTAATGAACTTTTTCGTATACTAGTTAAAATGCGTCCGCTCTATAAATTGAGGCATCTAACTTGGTAAATTTCTTTTTTCTTGACTGGTACTGCTAATGCGTCGTAATTGGCGTGCGTCACTTGAGAAATTTTGTAGACTCCAAGTTTTATCGTTCAGTTTTTCCCAGTAGCAGTATCGGTCATATTTTTGCTTGTGTATGCGAAGTGCAACTTTGCCTCTGTGTGAAATATTTGCTAGTTTTTTTGAGCTGAAACCAGTTTTTTCCTCGCCCGCTGGCAACAAAGGGCGGATCATGGTGGAACGCGAACCACTGACCATTGAAGTGGGAGGTAGAGCCATTAGCCTCTTCCAAATTGCTTCTCATATTTAGGTTTTCCGTAGTGCCTTTCGTGTGACATGAGTGTAATAAAGTAATATCAAAGGTCACCGAGAAGACAGATTTTTTTTGTTTAGTATAGTGAAAGAAATGGATTTTCTTAAGCTTGAGTGCTTTTTCGCAGTTTTAATTTTTTCTAGTTCAATTCAAATTCATTTGGTAAAAAAAAGAAAATTGCGCTCTCCAATTACGTAACTGCCAATGGCGCAAAAAGTAAGAATTACTCTCCGTTCCGAAAGTGGGGTTTAATTTTTCAAATTTATCAGCTGAATAAACAAGTATCTATTGAGCCAGTTTTTCAAGAGCGTTTAGTTGATGAATATAGGTTTTTTGATGTTTCGCTGCATTAATTGACTTTTTTCAAACTGTCTGTTGACTATTTTCAAAAAGGTGTCAATAATTAGGGTTTTTTGAAATTCAAAGAGGATCGAAGCGGTAAATTTTTCTCCACAAATTCAGAATAGTTCAGAAAAAACTCAATCATTTTTTGATTGCTGTTTTTGTTCCGACCATTGAAAATGGGTTGAAACTTTATCCTCGGGTGTATTTTTTTTGTTTTCCATGCAAAGTCAGATACCACAAATAATTATAGGATTGAGTTGAGTGATGTATCCTGTGTGAGCCCTTTCAGTGTGATACGAACGACATTAAAATGGTCCCAGCATCGAGTAAAACTGTAAAGCTTTTCTCAAATTTGAGTGAGTAAAACGAGCGTGTAGGCTTATTAAAGACTAACAGTTTTCATTTGAGCGGAGAAAAGTTTAGTGTCATTCCGGAAAAATTGGTTTTGGAAGCTTCATTCAGCGAGTACTTGGCAATATATAGGTTATAAAAATCCAAAAAAGTTCCTACAAAATCGATTTTAAAATTTGTGTTTGTTATTCATTTGTCGAATACAACTGATGCCGATTATGTCTAATTCACTGACATTTTATGCGTTTGTATAGTTCACTCTTCACACAATCCACATAAAACTACATTTTTTTGGAACAAAAAGTTTTTTTTTGTGAATGAGGTGGGAACATTTTGCGGTACTTGCACAGTAACCGGCTATCCTTGTCTTTTTTTCGGAATGAGTTATGATTTTTCTATAGCCGGCTATCCTTGTCTTTTTTTTCGGAATGAGTTATGATTTTTCTATAGCCGGCTATCCTTGTCTTTTTTTCGGAATGATTGAGGCTTCTGTTTCTAAGCATATCAATTGATATGACTAGCTTAGCAATTGAAGCAGGAAAGAAAGAAATAATAACAACACAAGCTAAAAATTTATAAAATTATCACCGTCTGTGCAGATAGATGTGCAGTAGTTTAAACGACAATTGTTTTTTACTCAAACAGTTTTGCGGGCATAATTCTATATTTTTTCTAAACTCATTTCTAAATGAAATATCTCATTTGGTGACACTTTTACTGCATAGCATTGACTATTTTATAGCATCTACTGGTTGCTAGTGTTTGCTTATTGTCAAGTGAACATGGCGGAGACGTGAGACGCGTAATCTCCAGGACGAGATTCGATTTACGCTCATCAAAAGATTGTTTTTCTAGGCCTATTTTCACCTTTTCTTTCATTATTTTGCTGAATAACCTTTTGTAAAAAAAGTTTCCGAAATCTTCTTGTAGCCAGTTTCTTGCATGTGTTAGCTCCGCCCCTGTTTTAAAATGCAGGAGATAGCGATAGCGAGATTACTATAGCAACGCATGTGTGTAACATCACCCAATTTTTTTTTCAACTTCACTGCAGATCTTCTGTTCAGTTTCTATACCTGTGTTCTGTTTACACTCTAATAGTCGCAAATCATTATCGAGGCTTAGTTTTCTTTTCCTGCTTTTTTGGTATTTTGTTGAATTCTAGGCAGTGATGACCCTATTAACGTCGATTACAGAATATAATCCTCAAAATTCTATAATACTTTGATTATAGTATTCTATAATAGATTTCCTAAAAAAATTGGATTCCAATTTAATCCGTTTTGCCGATTTAGTTGGTGCCATTTCAAACACTGAAGCAAAAACGAGCAGATAAAAGGATATGCAGCGAATGTTATTTTATGTGTAAGTTACACAGTGTAAGCTAAAAGATGAGATTTCAAGTCGTCAGCCAATGAAATATTAGCTACTTTGATCAGCGCTCGGCAATAGCTGTGATTAATAACGTTCTATTATAGTAATTTTATTAATAGAACAGACGTGTCAATATAGCGCATTATGATAGCCACGCTATTATAGACTATAATAGAATACTATAATCTGGTCATCACTGATTCTAGGGCGCCTTTTTGCCACTTTTTCTGTTTCTTTTTTCAACGAAGTGCAATTTCGCCTGTGTTGGTATGATTGATTGTTTCTGTTGTGCAGAAATGAGTTCCAGTCCAAATTGGACTCCCTGCCCAAGTGGTCCAAGAGGACCAGAGTGATGAACAGATGCCGACTGACCTCGAGGAGACAGGGCAGAGAGAAGACTTGCCCCGCCCCCTGGTACTTTAGTCGCCTTATGTGGAGGAAAATTACGGATGCTGGCAAGATGTCAGGGTACACTAGGGCATGGTGGTGACGTGGTTCCAAGGAAAAAACACAACAATAAACAATCATTTTTGTCTAGATCGTCGTTAGATGGCAGTTTTTTTTGCTATGTAAATTTGCAAAAAAATGTATTACTTATTACTTGCAAAGTTCCTCGCGTTTTAAAGTTGTATCGTGGAGTTTCATGCAAACGGGGCAGTGATTTGTTCAGCATTATTTTTTGGTACAAAATTGGAAAAGGAAAAACCCAGGATTTTTTGCAGGTACTTAAAAGAAGTTAGGAACATCCAGATAGCGTTTTTGACTAGAGTTGGCGAAAGTTCTGGCCTACGATTTGGCTACGCTTATTTTTTCATTTTGAGGCTCATCTGCTGACATGGTACTGCTGTAATAATTGCAAAGAAAGTTCCTGATCAAAAGTAATAATCTTTTGTTCCGACCATTGAAAATTGGGATGAACTTTGTAATCGGGTGTTTTATGTTTTTTTTTGTTTTCCACGCTAAATCAGGTACCACAAATATTCATCGGACTGGGTTGAGTGATATATCAAAATAAAGCCCTTTCAGTCGTGATTCGAACCACGTTAAAAATTCCCAACATTTTTTTCTAGTGTCGAGAAAAACCGGTTTGAAATTTTCAATTTTTTGTCTATTTTCGAGCGATTAACGTTTGTTGTATATGAAAATTAGCAGGTTAAGCTTAGAAAAGTTTACTAGAAGGAAAACTAATGTTGGAAGTTTAATTTAGCTTATCTCTGGCAAAAAAACATACTTTCAAAAATATTTATTTTCATGCTTTTTATTTATTTGTTTTTCGAAGACAATTGGAGCCGTTTGTGCCTACTTTTTTAAATTTTAACGCGTTCGTATTGTAATTTGAAGAAAGAAATTTTTTTTTTTGAAAATGTGGTTGGAACATTTTTGTGCAACTTGAACAGCAACCGGCTATCCTTGTTTGGGTTGTATTTGTTTTAAAATATGATACTGCTTTTTCGTGATTTTGTCAACTGATATCTCAAAACAAATTGATTAAATGGGCAGAAATTTAATTCATAGTAAATGACATGGAAACTGAAAAGAAGTTATAGAGAAATATAAATCATAATTAAACTGTGAGTCTGAATAAATTTAGTTATATTTCAAACTTTCGAAATATCTTCCGTAATAAAGTCATAAACCAACTCTTTAGCTCTAGTGCCGAAAATAAAATCGAGATGCGAAAAATCACTACTGTTTGAGAAATGAAAAACATTTGGCAATCTGTCCAATAAATATTGCACGTCCAGACTTGAAACAAGCCAGTCATTTTGACCAGCAAAAAGTGCAATCGGAATGCTCACTTTTTCCAATGCTATTTTGGGAGGAGTTTTCGATCCGTATTTTTCGAAATTTAATTTTTCTTCTTGGTAGTCGAAATGAACTGTCGGCTGTTTGAACAGATGTAACTGAGCGTAATGACGAATTGTTTTCAAACTGGTTCCGGAAAGCGCGTGGGTAAAAAATATTGGAATTCGTTTTGGGTCCATATTTTCAGGAGTGGTAAGTCCGCTGAATTGATGGTACGTTCCGAGACATAATCCAAAAATGTCATTTGAACAATACGTTGCGGAGGCTTTGTTAATAAGCTGTCTGATCAAATCGGGAAGAAAAACTGAGTTTTTTGGCCAGTGGATGTAATTATGAATAAATGCAAGCATACTCTTTATAGGGCTTTGAATGTTTTGAAGTGTTACGAAAGGCGTTAGCATGTATGCTTTTTTGATTTTTGCCTGAAAGTCGAAATTTTCGGCCATTTGGGAAAATGCGATAATTGTTCCTTGTGACTGGCCGATATAGAAGATTTGGTCTGTTTTAGCAACTGTCAAAAGGTAGTCAACACTAGCGGTTAGATCATATTTTGCCATTTCGAATAAGGAGAAATTCCAGAACTCAGAATCGTATATTGTATAATTGACATGTTGTAACGAATAGCTTGTGCCTCTTACATTAGCGAGCCAAACGTCTATATTGTTTTCGGCTAGAAGAAATCCAAGAGAGTTTTCGGCTGTGTTAGACAAGAAAACAGACGAATCGCATTCGAGACAATGCATTAAAAGCGCAACTTTTGTATCAGAACTGTTGCTTTCAGATGAAAAATTGGTAGAGTTGACTTTGCCGATTCGTTGCATGGATAAGATATAACCATCTTGTGTGGTAATTTTGTGCTCGGAACATGAATAGTTATACATGTCAGCTAGTTCACATGTGGATGCGAATATTTCTTTCTCGACGAAATAAGGAGCATAATTGATAAAAAGTCGCAGAGAGAAATATACCAAAAGTGGAATTAATATTACTAATATTGCAACAGGGCTCCAAGAGTTTTTGGACGGGACGTCTTCATTTTGCGTTTTGGTAGACTTAAGTTTCAAAAATTTTTGAAAGTTTTTCATTGTTTTTGCATTTTTTGCAGTATTTTTGGTCTTTTGTGACATTTTCTGCTGATGAAATTAAAACTCGTAATGAATCTTAAACTCAAAATGAACCGCTGACTAATTTACTGATGATAAGTGCTAGTCTGGTTTACATTTGATTTTAACAAACACATATAGACTTAATCTACGTGACTTGCCTTTCGCAGTTTGTGACATTTAACTTCGGTGAGTATTGATCAAGTACCAAGTCTGTGTGAAGTTTGCATTAGTTGAGCTTTGCTACTGAAAGTCATTAGTATTGAGTTAATAACATTTGCCAACATTTAGTTCGAACGAGTCCATTGTAGATTGTCTGCAGGTTCAAGTGTTGAAAAACGAAGGTTTGAATAGATTTGGATCGCGTGACAGCGCGAAAATTTAAAGACCAGTATCTTGTATCAATAAACTAAATCGTGCAAATGTTTTTTACACTTATGATTAGTAAGTGATATCGAATCGGAACATGGTTTTTTAAGGCTTACAACTTGCCCTTCATAATCAATGAATCATTTGATAGATTGGGTTATAATAATTTCGCGTCTCTCTGCTTATTTTTTAGCGCTTAGTTAATGTACATTGCTGGGATGATAAAGGGCCAGAGCTTGAATCCGACCAGGGCCTGTTCCTTTTACAAAGAATAAAATAAACCTACCTATTCAAGCAATTAGAATATACCAAAAATATACGCCAGTTGCGGTCTCGTGATGTCTCAGATTGGAGAATTTGATTTTGATGTGAGATTCGAGCCTCGATGAATACTTCTTAGATATTTTTCTAGAGTAAACAGTTTAAAGCTTTGAAGTTGAAGAAAAGAATTGGTCATTCGTTTTTTTTAAAGCTATGAATATTCGAGGTCGCCTAAATTCTCTGCTCAATCTTGTTATACTTAATTGTAAGTCGCTTTTAATTGCCATGGGCGCCATGTTTAACAGCTCACCGCTCGTAAATTTTAAGAAATTGATTGGAGTTAACACATTCGAATTTCAAAATAAAGCGAGCTTGGAAAGGTCAAGGTTAAATGTTGAAGTTGTGAGCGCAAGGCAAGGAGGGGCAGGCAGCGAAAGGCAAGGAAGAGCACGGCATGGCAGCGCAAACAAGGTACAGTAGCGCAAACAAAGTACGGCAGCGGATGGAGGGGCAAGACAAAGGAGGAGCATGGAAGCACAAAGCAAGGCAGAGCAGCACAATGCAAAACAAGGCGGTTTAAATTTTGTTAGCGCAAGGCAAGGCAGGGTAGAGCAAGGCAGCGCACCGAAGGTGGGGCAAGGCAAAGCAAAGAGCATGACAGGGCAATAAAAAGCATGGCAGCGCAAAACAGTCAGTGAAGCGCAAGGTAAGGTAGAGCAAGGCAGAGTAGCGGAACGCAGGGCAGCGCAAAAAGGCAGGTTATGGAAGGAGCTTCGCCAGGCAGATCAAAGCAAGGCAGGGCAGCGCAAGGAAAGGTAAGGAAGCGCAAAGCAAGACAAGGCAGGGCAGCGCAACACAAGTCAAGGCAGCAAAGGGACTGCAGAGTAGCGCAAGTCAAGGCTAGGCAGCTCAGGGAAGCGAAAAAATAGGCAAGGCAGGGTAGGGTTTTAGTGTGCTAGGGGAGTTAAATATGTGATGGGGTCCCTATAAAAGCACAGGGTCCCTCAATTTAGAAAGAAGCCTCCTTCATTAAGTTTTTTTTGCTTCTGTGAGGTCGATTGAGCTATCAAGTAAGTTGGAGCAAATGAAGCAGTTTGTTTATGTTGGAAAAAAAAGTGTTGAAAATGACCGAGCTATGTCTATTGGTTAAGTGAATTATACTTAGATGCTCATACTTGCCTAAGAAAGCCCTCTCTAACGCTTTTCAAGGAAAAAGGGAGCTAGAAAGGGATAAACATTTTCCTGGAGGAGCCTCAATAGTTATCAAAACAATTAAAATTGTTCAACTATTTTTTAGTCGAAGGCTCCCTTGATGTTCTTTGTCGCGTTTTGCGAACTAATTCAAGCTGTTAAAACAACTGCAGCTGGATCAAATTTCATATTTTTTTAAGCTTGATTGAGAAGTTTTTTGGGAACCATCAAGTCACCAAGGCGAATTGTATAGCAGTTAGATTGACCATAAAAATGAGCACATAACTATTTTTAAAATTACGACCGGATCACATGCTTACTAAATACCACCGTATTCAATAATAGCCAAAACTTAGAAAGTAGTTTAAACTTGGCGAGATAGGTTGTGCTTCAAATTTTAAAGAATAATACGGCGAAGAAGCTTGAACATGGTGAGATGTCTACGGACGCGTATAAATAGTTGACTTTTAATTAATCAAATAATGTATTAAAAAGTGAAGTATTTCAATCTCTTCGATATCTTGCAGCAAGAACCAAATTCTGCGAACCAATACAAAACGTGAAGAGAACTTAATGTGTCAAAATTGCATTTACAAAAAAAATTGAATTTGCGCCTTATCAATTCAAGGTATCAAGCTTCAATGAAGTTTTTCAAATTTCTACCGCTCAAGTGTCATGCTTCAATCAAATTTAGCAAATTTCCATTAATTTTATGGAAGAAATGCTTGCTTCAACCTTTAACGAATCAATTTTACCCATCAAAACAAACCAGTTCAAACAAACTGGTTCTAAATCCTCGCTTCCAAAAACCTCCCAAAATCCTTAACATTTTGCTAACCAATGCGAGCTATCCCAACAAATTGAATCGTTTCAACTTTCGAATAATTGAATGGCTTGATTTCAAGAAAGTTTGAAAAGCTCACACCAAGAATTTTGAATTTCTCAAACCCTAGTTAGTTATCGAAGTAATTTTGAATAATTCAAAGTTTTATACCTTGATAGATTGCTTTACAAAATCTTTTCGTTTTTTTGCCTGCCAGTTTTTTGAAATTAGGCCAGAATTTGTAATTTGTAAATTGAAGCATGCCGATTTATGAGCTCACATGCCATTTAAATTTGAAGTTTCATCCCTTGAATTATTTTTGTAAGAAAATAATATTTCTTGTTGCAAAGGAATTCAAGTCATCAAAACACCTTCAAGGTTTTTTCAATTTTTTTGGCGTGATAGTTTGCCTCAAAAAAGAAAAGTTTTTGTAAGCCATTGCAAGCAATACAAAAAAGTGGAAATGTTCAAGTTTTCATTGCTTCACAAGAATATTCAAGTCACTTTTAAAATTCACAATTTATGCGAACCTGTTCAAGCATCAAGTTAAATTGAAATCAAATGGATGCACTGTTGATTTTTTAATCAAAGTAAAATCAAAAATTTTGTTTTCAAATGGGCTGGCCAGTTTCTTTTAAACGGCAGAAGCAGCATTCACTTAAATTACCGTGAATAACCCAATTTACCGTGATTAAATTACCGTGATATTAGAGTTTCTAACACCAGGAAATTTATCTTACTGGGTTTTGTGGCTTGGGGCATTTCGTATTTGAGTTAAACCAGTCAAGCTGCAAGTTAAACCATTCCAAAAAATGCGCTAATTTTGCGGATTTGTTCAATTTTAATGTAATTATGTAGCAATTGTTTCTGTTTCTTTCAGATTTCGAAATGGATGAGCCTCTACCTTTTGCCTCCAACACAGATGGGAGTTGCAGTGCGAATGTGATCTCTTCTAATCCCAACCCGACACCTGCCGCCCCACATGGGGGTCAACAGGAAGTGCTGGAGGACGCATCTGAACTCATATTCCCAGACGAGTTCAAGGACGCACAGGTGAAGTTGTATTGCTAACAGTTGGAAGTTGACCAATTAAGGTTTTTCCTATTTTTGTTGAGAGGTGTTGGAGAAAATTAAATGGAGAAAATTTGTCAATAGTTTTCCCTTCCACTTTTTTGTTAGGGGGAGAGATGGTGGTAGAACACGTGTTTAGGCTTGACCCGTGAATTATTCCTTTATATGATACTAGGTAAGTGTTTACTAGGTACTATACGTGGGGAATAGCATACAAGGTCTTTGATTGACACTCCTTGAATGTATAAAATGCGTGAATAAGTTTTATTTTCGTGACTGTTCATGGGATAGTTTTGTGATCATTTTGTGTAGACGCTGTTGATAGCGGAAGTGCACAGTCTGCTGCAGTATGCGAAGGATCAGAACAACCAACATGAGGATGAGTTCCACATGCCCAACGAGGTCTTTGAGAAGACCATGAAGTACACGGAGAAGTTTGCCAGGTTCAAGGTCAGCATCATCTGCTAAGAGACGTTCTTTTAAAATATCCAAGCTACTTTTAATATCTAGAAGACTTTTTTAAACTTGAGAGAAAATGATTTTGTTCAAAATCTAAGAGACATTTTTTAATCTCTAAAGACAATTTTTAAAATAAGCGAAGTTTGTTATCAGCTGAGTTTTTTCTGACCAATTGAACTGTATATAGAACATAGGGTTAGTTAGTACAGGGTAGATTGGCGTAGTGTAGATGGGAATATGGTAGATTGTCATGGAACCCAAAAAAGTCCAATGCAAATCAGTCCAAAACCAAGTGCATTTTGACTTTCATCTGTTCAGGCCGAATAAATTGTTTTGCGCTGTGAACATCAAGTTTGAGCATAATTAACGATCAAATAACTGAAAAGTCTAACAAAACATCAGATTATTTTCAAAGACGCCGTTGGATAGTGGCTAAGACATCGAAATATCTTGAAGTTTGGGCAAACTTGAAATTGGATAAATCCAGACTACCAGATATCAGATATGGCAAAACCTGCGCATCTAGTTCAATTTCGAAAGTTCCGAGTAATTAAGTTCAAAAAAATTCCTCTGAATATAATAGCTGCTCTTGAAGTGATTTTCTAGACGTTTTTTTTTATGTCAATAGGCTCGAGGAACTGGCAGTGATCTTTCACGATTTCAACGAAGTCCTTTTTTTCCGAACGCGTCCATTACAACTGCTTTGTGCGCAACGCTACGAAACGAGATCAGACAGTTTGCGATGTTTAACTCAAGCATGTGCTTCCAAAAACATTATTAGATCTGATTTTTTGATAGTAAGAATGGTTTTCATGTGTTTGTTTTTGGGTATTTATACTTGCTATCAGCTCAGTGTTTTATTACGAACCTTCTTTTTTGCCAACCTAACTCGCAAATAAAAGTGTTCATTTAAAATGTTCACTTATTTGGAAATTTCACTGTAGCATTGGAAATTGCTTAGCATCTGTTCTGCTTTAATTTTGGCTATTGATTGGTGCTTGTTAAGCGTACGTAGCTGACTGGTTAGTGTGTGAGACTCTTAACCTCTAGGTCACAGGCTCGAATCCGAGACGTAGCTGATTTTTTTCTTACTAATTCGAGGCTGATTTATATTTTTTCTTATTCCTTTTTATACAGCTGTTTTTGTCGTGTTCTCGCTAGTCTGTGCGAAGCAGTGTTCTCGCAAAACAGTTTTTGGGACTGCTTTGTTTGACTGTTTGTATAGGAACGCAAGAAAAACAATTAATTCGTTTAAGTTTATTGAATGTCGGTACTTTAATTAGACCATGAATTAGCGACAAATTTGATTTTATAAGCTTATCAAGTCTGAAGCCATAACAGTAATTGCAAATTTTTGGTGATCCAGAGAATCATGTATTATCATCCTTCCGTCGCGGTTTCTAAATTAGATTATAAAAAATTCTTCAATTAGTGACTGGTTGTCAATACTATTTATTTCGTGTTTTTTTGCCAATTATTTTGCTGTTTAATGTAGAAAAATATTGCAATGGAAATTCTTCTATGATAAAAAGAGTAACTTGACGCGAAACCGTTTTTCCTCTATGATATAAAGAGTTGAACGATGTGGAAAACGTTGTCTTGTTTTTTCTTTCATCTGTCTGAATTTGAAGTGTTGCAGAAACATCAGACTATGAAAAGGCTTCAATGGTAAAAAAAAAGCTGTTTTTTTTCATTGTAGCATTTCCATTAGTGATTTTCTGCTCTAAAAGCAGCGGAATAGCTGGAAAAAAAAACAGGATAACAGGAAAAAAAATTTAAGGTTGTCATTAACTAAACAGTTACTAATTGATGACTTTTTATATCCTTTGTTATATGATCGCATGTTTTTTTATTTCTATTTGCTTAATTTGAAGTGTTTCAGAAAAACGAGACAATCACAGCAGTGCGCAATCACCTGATGACGAAAAAGTTGCACCAGTACGAGATAGCAGCACTGGCTAACTTGTGTCCGGACTCAGCCGAGGAGGCCTGCGCTCTCATTCCCAGTTTGGAGACCAGATTCGAAGAGCGAGAGCTGGAAGCTATACTCACCCATATCCAGAGCCTCATTTCCTACGATAAATAACGGAGGGAAGAAAACGATATTTAAAGAAGTTGAACTTTTCAAATGGCAAAACAGTGAAGTTCAAAATCAAGGATTATAAGCTGCCCAAGTAAAGGAAAAAGCGTTATGAGCTGTTTATCTAGTGGATTTACCAGAATCGGCCATGATAATTTCGGGATTGCAAGAAGATAGATAGATGTGCTGAAACTTCTTAACGTATGGAATCTCAAATTCAACAATTTTTTTGTGTGTTGCTGGCAAAAAATTGAAATTTCTAATTTATGACTTGTTTGATCAGTTGTGTTTTCAAGCGGAAACTTCAACAAGAATAGCCGGGAGTGTAGCTCCAAAATTTTCGACAATGATCATTTTGTAGTCGTGGAAAACAACCCACAAAATATACTTTCTTTTTACACTTGCGATCAGCTTAGTGTATCATTACGAACCTTTTTTTTGTTTTTTAACCTAACTCGCAAATAAAAGTGTTGATTAAAATTCTTCTTTCATTAGGAAATTTCACTATTAATTGGAAATTGCCAAGCATATGTTCTCTGCTTTATTTGTGGCTAGTGTTTGGTGCTCATTAAGCGTCCGTAGATGAGTGGTTAGTGTGTGAGATTCTCAATCTGTAGGGCGCAGGTTCGAATCTCAGACATATCCTATTTTTAAAAAACTAATTTGAGGTTTATTTCTAATTTTTCTCATTGCACTTTATAGAACTGCCTTTTGTCGTGTTCTGGCTGGTGTTTGGGAAGCGAAGCTTCGCCTCTGTGTTGATATGGTTTTTGGGACTGTTTTGTATTAGACTGTTTTGTATTGGAATGATATTCATTAACTTTTCCAGCTGTCTGTTGGCTATGTTTTTTTTTGCGTTTTTTTGGTTTCTCCTCAATGTATATTGACACAGGCATCTCATTTTTTTCGCTTGAATTGCGGAAGTAGAGATTTATGCTTTACTATTTTAGAGGAGAGGTAATGCGCGAAAAGGGATGAGGGCATTTTCGAGTTGGAAAACGTAATAATTTTTCTAGGACATGTATGTTCTCTAGCATTATATTTTTTGTCTCAACGGGCATCCACCCTAGTGTTGTCGCGGCTAAATGACCGCTCGTTTATTGTTACTGAAAGCTTGTTTAGCGCTGGTGATTGAATTTTTGACTGTGTTTTCCTGAAAATGAATATCAGTCGAAATAAGCTGATGCATTTTTTGAAGATGTTTTTTGGTCATTTTAGAGGTTTTATCGAATTAGTGGTTTCTCAGTTTTTATTCGCTAGCTTGCTATACTATACTTGCGTTTTTTCGCCAGTGTTGCGAAACTCTGCTTCGCTTCTGTGTGAAAAAGTGCATTACGAGGCCAAACTGGATTTCAGTGGATTTCAGAGAAAAGTCCTTAAAAACATGCATGTTAAAATTTTGTCGGAACCATATAAAACTCAAGAACAAAAAAAGATCAAGGAGAGCGTCCTTGTCGCGGAATTCGCTTGCAATTCACAAAATACGCAGTTTGGCCTCGCTTTGCGTCAATGTTCATATACGCTCAAATTCTAAAAGCTTGAATTTGATAATTTTTCTTAAATTTGGAAGTTGAAAAATTAGAAGAAAAGATTATCATGCTTTGCAGAAAGATGTTTGCAGAATGTAGCTTCTTCTCTTTGGAAAAAAGTAGAACCGTGAACATTACTAAAATGTCGAAAACGCTGCAATACCAAAGCTTGATGCCAGCTCCACATTTTGATGCAGTCGTAATACGCTGAATTGTACGTTAGTTTCAGATCTTAGATGGCAGGTATCGAACTAGAACAGATCAAGTAAACGTCAAGACAAAAAGAGCAAAACCAATTTGGGAGGGAGAGAGAATCGACAACAATTGGAACAACAGCAAGCACACTAAGCACCCTACCAACTAGACTTTAATTTATCTTCTGAAAGGAGAGAATTGAACAAATCTGAAAAGAACTAATTACAAAGCTGAGCGCAAATTGAACACGTTTTTGTTTGTGATCTGAGATCTAATTCGGATCCTTGCATCCTGTAGGGCACTTGTTCACCTTTAGACGACCCTTTCGGACTTTGGACTCAAATAGTCGAATTAGAATTCGAAAAACAAAAGTACGCTGCAAAATGGCGGCAAGAAATACTCAGGGAATGCTCTTGTTGAGTACTGAACTTGCAAAACTCATGAAAGAAGGGGCCGAAGGATTTTCAGCCGGACTGGTCAACGACGATCCCTTCAAGTGGGAAGTAGCAGTCTACGGTCCCCCCGATACATTTTACGAGGGCGGAGTGTTCAAGGCAACTCTGACGTTCCCCAAGGAGTACCCAAATCGCCCGCCCAAAATGAAGTTTATGAGCAAAATGTGGCACCCTAATATTGCTAAAGATGGCGCTGTCTGTATATCCATTCTACATGACCCAGGTAATCAAACCCCCTTTGTCTGTTTCTGGTTTATTGTTAATGGCAATTGTTGGCTACATCCGTTCCGGTCAACGAATCCGAACTAAGTTAATTAATCTAAAACCGAAGCTGGGGCGGATTTAGAGGGGGGGGGGGGGGCGGACGCCCCCCCCCCTTCCCCTCACAGATTCGACACCCTGCCGAACCTTTTGGTACTTTTTATGAAATCCCTTTTTGGCCGACCGATCCTAAAGTTTTTCTGATGGTGCCTTTGGCGCCAATATATACTAACTTTGAGGGGGAGCGCGCGCCAAAAAACGCAATTTTTTTTGTCAAAATTTTCCTTTTTAGTCCTTTAGGAGGGCTCGGAAAATCAATTTGGTCGACCTAAAAAAAGGTCGTATAAATTTTCGAAGTAACTTTGATTGCTGCGAAGTACAACTTTGATTTATTCAAGCGCAAAAATAGTTATTAATGAAGAAACGCACACTAGTCTTACCAAACCGCAGTTTTCCGCCGTAGTCTGCGCCGAAAATAAGCAAAAATATGCCGAAAATAAGCAAAAATATGCCGAAAAAACTATTCCTGGTTGTGTGAATGTAAAATGGTATACGTATTATTACAATGCTAATTTTGTTGCGCTGAAAAGGAGAGACTAGTTGAAGGCAATTATAGTTTTGCTTATAAATTTGTTTCCATTTATTTAGAGTGGTTTTGAAGTTAGTGTTAGAGTTTTGCCAATAAGTGTAATCAAAAATGGTTTTATTCGTGTCTGAAGCAAGTAGAAATCATCCAAAAAGCTTGTGTGGACTTAACTAGGATATTGTAGTTGAAATTACGAGTGATGCTTTTGTGATTCTGCTGCTTTTTTAATGAGACGTTGGGGCTCTTTCTTCAACTATTTCCCCCTATTGTAGAGTGGGATTAGTTATAGGTACAACATTTGCATATGGTTAACCATGAATGAATCCTTCATAGGAGTTGAAATTCTTAACTAGGTAACTACCATAGGGGAAGGGGGCGGTAATCAGAGAGATCCAGCGGTAACTAAAAACCTTGAGGGATTGAGTCACAATGATAATATGTGGGAGGGGGTAATTAGAAAGATATGCTAACGGAGGCAATAACTGATTGATTGTTGTGGTGTGCTGTGGTGATCAAAACAACCACCGCTGCTCACATCAACAATTGAACAGTTAATAATGCCTCAGTAAGCTTATTTCTGTAATTACCACCCCCCCCCCCCTCCTATTTACAATGATTGTGACTCAATCCCTCGAGGTCTTTAGCTACCGCTGTATCTCTCTGATTACCGCCCCCTTCCCCTATGGTAGGTTTCTAGTTGAGGATTTCAAGTGCTATGAAGGATTAGGAGATGTTTTGTTGATTAGGAGAGGACAGTTGGGGCTACGAGAGTGCGGACGAGAGGTGGAAGCCAGTGCACTCTGTCGAGTCCATCATCCTCAGTGTCATCTCCATGCTGAGTGAGGGCAACGATGAGTCACCCGCCAATGTAGACGCAGCTGTCGAGTGGAGGAAAGACTACCAAGGTAGCCAAAGCCACTCTTGCAGTCACAGCAATAAACATGCCATTTGAATACGTCAAACGAATATCATTACACAATCGAGCTAGCGAGCGTAGTGTTATTTTACGAATCCACATTTTTCTAAACCGATCGCATATAAAAGTGCTCATTTATTGGGTGACAAAGTGTTCGTTATTTGCTGTTCATCACGATCTGTAGCATTGAAAGTTTCATAGCATCTGCTCTCTGCTTTATTTGAGGCTTGTATTTGTGATGTATTAAGCGTCCGTGGCTGAGTGGTTAGTGCGTAAGAGTCATATTATCTAAGTCGCAGTAGGTTATAGTTATAGAGCTTGTTTTTGTCGTGTATTCGCTAGTGTTTGCGAAGCGCAGCTTCGTCATTGTGAATTTTTGAACTCATAGTGGAAATGGAATGTTCAAAACTCGGAACGTTCTGTGCTTCTTGTGCAGCAACCGGTCCTCCTTGTATACTTAATTATTTATATAGAGTGTTCTTACAATGTAAGTAAAGTTTTAAACGAAAGTTTTAAGAATCAGATTTGAGGGTTTTACGGAAAAGCGCCGAATTATTATCCAACTTTGAAATGTCTTAAATGACCCGTTGGTCTCAATACGTGTGGTCATCTTAAGTATAGAAACCTCTAAAACTGCATATTTAATCTAAAAATTCATTTTCCAGCCTAATACTAATTTTGCGCTCATTACTCGTTCGAAATACAGTTAAAAACACCTTATTGTTTCAGTTTCTTGAATTGGTTAGTTGTATTCAGAAAATGTTAATCACAGAAGATTTTTGATGCCAAAAAAACTTTTAGTCAAAAGAATTGTTAATGGCAAAGGTTTTTTTTTGCTATCAAAAGAGTTTTTAGGATGCTTGTAATTTTAGGAGCCTACAAGAAACATGTCTTCGAAACAGTTAAATTGAGTCAACAGGACCTATTAGGCGAAGACTAACTAGCCGAGACACTAGAAACAAAACGGACACAGCACTGATGCCACGGAATTAAACTGATGACGACAACTGCAATGATGTAGAAGCAATTACTTCCGAGTCAAAGATGACCCGAAGAAAGAAGCTTGAATTGAATAGAACTACTGAGAAACTACTGATGAATTATGACTAGAGGCTGTTTATCAATTAATATAATGTCATGTTAGTAATTATTAAAGGTTATTTATTGTTGTTGATATAAATGGGAAGAATAAATGAGTGATGAAGTTGAGTGAGTAAGCCTTGAATAGCGCCTTTGTCAGACTTTTTTCCAGGACGAAACGGTTCACAAAAATGGCTTTTATCATTTTTTGGCAGGGAAAATGTTGATTTTTTTAAATAAAAAATGAGCAAATATTTTTGTCAGAAAAATCCTTGTAGAAAATCTGACCGGGTGCTAATTTTAACCATGCTTAATAAAAAATAGCATTCTCTAATTTCAAATTCAGGAAAAAAGTGAAAAAGAACAAACTATTTCCTAGAAATCTTGGACTGGGAAAGAAACCAAATGTGGGAGTGCTATTAGCTTAATGTAGCAGTTTTACCAAAGCAACAAAGCCTTCTTTCTACTTTTTACAATGAAGTTTGTTAATATGTTGTTTGGAGTTTGTTGGATTTAATTCTCTCCCCTCGTTCGACCACTTATGAACTAAGACTTCCAAGTCTTCTGGAATTTTTTCAATATATTTTTTAAAAATTAAGGTCAAAATTAGTTTTTCTTGTTAAAAAACACCTGATTTGAATGAGTTAAAATGCTGTGTTCGCTGATTTGGTAATTCTTGGTTGCGAAGGGAGTATGATAAAGAAGAATTGGTTTGTTCGTTGTATTCGATTCTACCTCACCACAGATAATTGAAAGACGTTCTAGTTTTTTTTCGGATGCGACGTGTATTAATAATGTATAAAACGTGAGCATTAAATTTGCAATTTTGAGTTAATTTGACCTCATTACAAAAGAAATGGAATGAACTCAATGCTTTCAAAGAGTTGCTCGGTTGAAAGATGAAATTTTTTTTTAAATGGTAGGATTCACGGGGTGAAATAGTAGATATTTTTCTGGAAACTTCTTGAAAATATTGACATGAGCATTAGCATATTGAGTAGTTATGAAATTTGCTGCCCATTTCCTACGCTGTGTGTATAATAACTATTCGCTTTAGGGAAATCTTAATTATAACTGATTTCCTTAAACGTGCAAAGGATACTCTAGCTGGTGTAGCTGTGAACTCTATTTGATGTTGAAATATCTTTTGTATGGTTGTTCTTGGAAGTCCTTTTGGTGCTATTTTTCTTAATTTTATCACTTTCCATCATACTAGTTTTCCTCGCGCTCACCACGCTTTTAAGTTCGCCCGGAATCTGTTCACGTTGAGCCTCACCGCGGGTTGAATTACATAACGATTACATAATAATTACAGAAAACTCACATGAAAATTATGTTATGTATTATTCAATAAATTATTGGCTACTTTCAGTACTTCTTATTAGTGTTCCTTTTAGTGAAATAGATGTTTTTTCTTTGCTGCTCGGCAATATTAGTTATGTAATTCAACTTGCTGGCTTCTTGATCCGTTAACTTAGAACTCTTACGTTTTTGTTGCTTAAATTGTAGTGTTCGCTCTAATTTGTAAGGCTGTCACGGAAGCTCAATTCTTTTCTGAAACTCTCCTTCAAATTGCGATTTGAGATCCGTGAAATATGCCGCTATTTTTGAATTCGAAGTTTACGTGAAAAATAAAACTTGCTGATAATGCGTAAAACTGAGTAAATTTATTCTTCGATACATCTTTTCAAGACGTCTGTACTCCACTAATGTAACCCGAACTGCCATAAATCAAAGTAAACATAGTTTTTCGGCCGTTTAGATTTCGTCTTTACTTTTGTTGGCTCACTTGTTAAATTTTTTGTTTCAATAAATTTTTCAATTATTTTTTAACCCTTTCCATTCAATTTTGAGCCCCGTAGTTTAGAGTTTTTGTTTTTTTACCCAGCAAAATTTGTTGCTCAGAACGAAAAACTTAAAATAAGAGTTTTTTCCGTGACATGGCTTCTACCTAATTATTTCGTCTTATTTTTTGGCTTGTTTCTTGAACTTAGCATTCTAATTTTTGTTAGATTTGAACAGTTTCATTAATATAATCAAAGTGTTAGCTTTTTGAATTAAACAATTCAAGTTTTGTTCAATTTTGACTGTCAGACGCAAAAATTAACTGGAAAAAAGACAGTTCTCAGTTTTAATTTGCATTGTTTTCAAAATTAGATTGTTAAGATAAACAAGTTTTATTGAAGAAAATGGGGAGGAACTTTGTATTCGGGTGTGTTTTTTTCCTTTTTTGTTGCGACCGTTGAAATTGGAGAGGAATTTTGTATTCGGGTGTGTTTCAGTTTTTTCTTTTTGTTTTCAATGCAAAATCAGATACCACAAATAATCATCGGACTGGGTTGAGCGATATATCATATTAAAACTCTCTCAGTCGTGATTCGAACCAAATTAAAAAAATCCCAAACATTTTTTCTGTCGAGAAAAAACGGTTCGAATTCTTTGATTTTTTTTGTCTTAATTCGAGCGAATAAATAAGCCTTGAAAAAGAACTTGAAAAAATTGCGTGAAAATTTTCGTTTATTTGTTTGTTTTAGTTAAAATTTTCTATAAAAATTGCTTTCCAGTTTGCGTAATTTGTTAAGACTGATGAAGATGCCTAAGCTGTAAGTTTTAATTAAGATCATTTTATCACATTACGCTGGAAAAACGACCGTTATTTGAAAAATAATTTTTTTTAAAGACGATGGTCGGAAAATTCTGTGCTATTCGTACAGTACTTTCCTTGTTTTTGTTTGCCACGCAAAAGTTTCGAGAAAAACCAGCTTGAAGTTTTTAGTTTTTGGCTTAGTTTCGACCGAAAAAAGTGACAATAACTTGTTAATTTGTTCATTTAGGCTAAAAAAATCTAATTTCTCCAAACGGAAACTTTTTTGCAAGCTATATTTGGCACTTCCCCGGCAACTAAATTTTTCAAAATTTTTTTTTGTTTATTTTTTTTTTGACGAAAACTGTTGTCCATTATGCTTAATTTTCTAACTTTTTGTGCGTGTGTATAGTTTTATCATCTTTTAGCGTACAACAAACAGCACTAATTTGAAGATCTGAATAATTTGAACTTATTTGTAGTCTTATGGAAAAGGTCGGAACATTCTGTGCTACTTGCAGAGCAACCGGCTATCCTTGTTATTTCTTCGCGTTTCCCAACAGCGCTGACTAAACGTGAATTTTGTGGGTACATTTTTCTTAAAAAAAGGTTGTGTAAGAAGGCTGAGAAAGTTTGGAACCAAGTTATTACCAAAAAAGCTCCTTATAAAGAAGCCTAAAGTTATAAAGCCTTAAATTAAAGAAGCCTCCTTTTTGGATAAGCACTGATTGCTTTTGGACATAGGTTCAATATGCAGCTACCAAAGCTAATGACTATTCAAAGTGAGTTGGTGAGTTTTTCTGAATAAAAGTTGCCATTGTTGAAGTACTTCAGACTACTAGCTAAATACTTCGAAATAACACAAACTCAGAAGTTAAGCATGAGTGCTAGCTAAAATTTAATAAGAAATACAAACCAAGGTTCGATAACTTTTCTTGAAAGTAGAAAAATTTTATATTTTCACTGTTTTTGCAATGAAAGAGCTGCATTATATGAGAATTTAAAACTAAAATTTAAGTTAAAACTCCACTATAATTCTTTTTGACTTAACTAGGTAGCGGGCACTATTGTGCTTTGTTTGAAAGTTCTCCTGGTCAGTTTTTTACTTGCTTTCCCCAAAGAATCTACCGGCAAATCCAAGGTTGACCCCTGCAAATCACATTGTGTTTGAACCAGGTGTAGGTGAGCGCACTTGATGGGTTTGTGTTGGTGACTGGAAAAGAGGCAACACCCCCCGGTAGAGCGGGAAACACGAAGGGGTGTGCTAATGTTTGGAATGCATGAACCACTAAAGGTGGCTCTCCGAAGCCCAGTTCTGTTATAATGTTCACACATCTATTCGCGTCATAATCGGCCTGTGACCAACAAAATAAAATTGTTATTTCCGGTTCTACTCCAATTTTTTAATGGATGTGTAATTACGAACTCAAATTTTGCGCGTTTCCTTTTAACAAAAATTTCATTCAAAGCTTTTTTTGCGAAAATTTTTTGGATGCCAGGAACTTTTTTTGAATCTACTTAACAGTTTCCACCCCTTTCAAGAAAGGGGAAGGGAAATTGTTAAGTAGATTCAATTTTTTCCCGTCGTTTTTGGACCCAAGTTTGTCGGCTTAGTTATCTCTTTGTAATTGTTCTAATATTAGTTTAATTATACCGGCAGTCTTCCTTCTCGACATGTTTCTTCTAAATTGAATGATACAACCAGACAAATCGTCATATGAACTTTTGGTAGATTCAGCTTTTTTCACCAGTGCTTTTCAATTTTTGTTCATTTTTGACTTACAGATTTTTGTCGTCTAGCTCATTATGCTCTTTATCACCCGCGCCGGAGTTCCATGGATAATAATCGATTATAATGGAAGAATGTTGTCTAAAATGTTGTCATTATAATCCATTATTGTGGCAAATTTAGACTACGAAATCGATTATATTGTCATTATAATCGATTATTTTCGTAAAAACAATCCATTTAAATCCATTATAATGGATTATAATCCATTTAAAATCCATTATAATAAATTATAATCCATTTAAAATCCATTATAATTGATTATAACGGATTATAATCTATACATTTTTTTGCAAAATCATTCGCAAAACTTGCAACATTTCTGCGTTACTCACGGCCTACTCGCAATCTAAACCTAATCGAATTAACCCCCTCCCCATTTTGCCCCCCATCCGCGTTTGCCCAATCCCCCTCCCCCCACTCCCCTACGTTTATCCCTACGCCCACCCCCATGTCTACCAACTACCAATAAATGGGGGGGGGGGGTGTAAATCATAAAACCCTCCCCAAAGTCTACCAACTACCAATAAATAACCCCCAATAAGGGAGGGGGGCGAATGGCGGCTGTAGTAAACAGGGGGAGGGGTGTAAACAGGGAGGAAAAAAAGGGATGGGGGAGGTAAACAGGGAGGGGTTAACGGGGTATATAAGACAAAAATTACATAAATTGAAAAGTGAAATGTAACATTTTATGAAACCTAATAAAGCAACTGCACTAAACAGGAAATGCGATAACTTTGAGAAGACTTGTAAATTTCATGACTAACCTCTCGAAAAAATCCATTATAATTGATTATAACCGATTCAAAGCAACTATAATGGCATAAAAAATATACGAAATATAATCCATTTTTAATGGATTATAACCGATTATAATGGGTTATATTGATATAACAAATAATGGATTGTAATCCGTTTTTAATCGATTATAATCGATTTTTGTCGAAATTTTTTAATCGAAAAAATTCAATATAATCAATTATTATCCATAGAACTCCGGTGCCGTGAGGTATCAAAAACTTCTCAAAATAAAAATGGAAAGTTTAGTCTGCTTGATGGCCTATCTGCTAATTATATTGCCTACTTCTTGCAGTGGGTACCAATTGAGTACCAATTGCTAATAAACTGTTTTGGATCATGATTGTTTTTCAGATATTATTCCGTTTTTCTACACAACTCAAAAGTACAGTGTTAAAAGTGTTCAGAACAATTATCCTCCCTAATAAACCCAGCCAAAGATGCTCGCTTTCTTTCTATGATAACAATAAGGCTCGAAAAGACAAAATTATCAAACTCTAAAGATTTTGATTGCGCTTATCAGAAATTTCAGAATTGTTTGGTTGTTTATTTGAAAAAATTTTGTCTCTTGAGGCTCATGTATTGAGTCGTCTTATTGTTCCGACTTTCGAAGATGTGCTCGGTGTGATATTTATGCTCGGTGTGTTTTTTTACTCAGTCAATTTTCGTCGATCAAAATAATAGTTATCGACGAAATTTTTTTATACCCCATTGAAGATATCGACTTCCTGAGTAAAAATGTAGAAAGATATTTTACCTCCGATTGTTTTTTGTAAGCTTCTGGGGGTTTGAAAATTGCCAAATTGACCATGTTCTGGACTAAATTATGCGCGCTTTGAAAAATTGATTCAAAATGCTGAGAGCGTAACGCGAATTATTTGTGTGTGGTGAATTATCCCGCTCAGCAAAGTCGTTCCAAATTGAATTGAGGCTAGCTTATTGATCGTATTAATTACGTACGACTCAACATTTTGTTCCGACTTTCGATACGAAAGTAACGGAATATTTGTGCTCGGGTTTTTTTCTTCAGACAAATTTCGACTTTTTAACTAGCCATTTTTGGCGGAATTTTTTTTATATCATTCGAAAGGTATTGTTGTCCTGAGCTTAAACTTGAAAAAATATTTCACCTGTGATCATTTTTCGTAAAGTTATGGTGGTTTAAAGATTGCCATTTTGGTCAAATTGGGACAATTAACGCGCGATATATTTCGCGCTCTTAACGAGTAAGCGGAGATTTAATCCGTCTTAGAAATCGTTCCAAATTGGTTGCAAGAAGCTTATTTGCCATAATTGATTTGTTACAAGGAGCGAAATTTATCCTTTTGTACCTTATATGGCGTGTGGGGGGATGAATTTCATTAAAAAATTTCTAATTTTAGAAGAAAAAAAAATCTATCTATTTTCATTACATTTAATTTTCTTCATGTTTTTACTGCTCCATAGAGCTTAAAAGGCAGTCGGAACATTCAGGGTTTCGCCCTGATACGAGCAGTCTTGTATTTTTTACATTTGAATTTTTTTATGTTATCACTGCTCCATAGACCTTAAAAGGCAGTCAGAACATTCAGGGCTTTGCCCTGATACGAGCAGTCTTGTTTACTTTTATATTGGCGAAAATTTATAGGTTTTCAATTTTTTCTTTTCCCAAAAACTATTCGATAAGAATCAAGGGACAGTCGGATTATTCAGGGCTTTGCCCGGATATACGAGCAGTCTTGTTTCAATTAAATACGAACATATTTAACGTAGATTGCGCAGAGCTACTTCTTTTTTGGCAGATAATTCGAATTCAAAATCATGCAGTTTCATTTTTGATAATTTCCATCCAATTTCGATAAAAATCTACGCTTTTGGTTAATATCTAATGAATAAACAATTAAATTATATAAATTGTTCTGTTTAGTTTTTATTCAGGAAAGCGAAGCTTCCAATCTTAATATTGTTCCAAAAAAATTTTTCTCATAAAATGTCTTTATTATCTAGGTTATCATTCTTGACAATTGATTAAATTTCAGGTGTCTGTTTTCAGAGTGAAATCTAAGATAAGGATACACTGAACGATAAATTGTACACCGAGCTGTTTTGATTAAATTTAAATTTTTTGATTGCAAGTGCAAAGCTTTAAAAATAAATAGTTTTTTTTGCCTACGTTTTTAAATCTTCATCAAATTTGATTTGTGTGTTTTAATTGCAAAACAAATTGATTAAAAATATTCAATCAAGTATTTATTTGTTTGCTAATGATCCGTTTGCACGTATCTAATCTACTGTGTGCTCATATTCTACACGTTTTTAATACTGTTTGCTCACAATACTGTTGGCCCCTTATCTACCTTTTTTCCCGATCATTAAAAAAATTGCATCTAATCTTTTTGTTGTTAATTTTTTGAGTAAACTTAATTTGACTAAGACTTTCCATCCAATCTTTCTTCCAAGACCACAGATCAAAGTTTCTTGAGATTTTTTTTGGGAATCATTGAAAGGCTGATAGTTTTGTTCGAATGGGCAGTAGATCTTGTTCGAGATTTATTTTTGTAAATGAAAATGTTTTCCAATTTGCGAACAGAGTTCCGAATTCACCCACTATAGAAATGGTAATTATTATTTTTTTTCTTCATTTTGTGTGCTGTCGGACATACGAGAACTCGATGTTTTAGCAATTGTTCGAACGATATAACCAATAAAAAAAAAAATTTAAAAAAGTCTACTTATTTTGGGAACGGATCGATAAGTACAAAGCTTTATTGGTAAATGCTGTGTTGTATTACGGGCCCAAAATTACGTGCATGTCTAGAAAGTCTCCAAAAACAAGAAAAAAATAATTGTAAGTTTTGTTTTTCTTTCGTTCCGGGCAGACATTTCGACGTTATGTTTCAGCAAGCGCGACCAAATACTCCTACGTTTCGACCAAGTTCAACCAATCCAGACGTATTTCGACCGGCACGAACAAAACCTTGTGTATTCGTATATTTTGAAGTCAGTTCAGCTTTCAGATTCAAACAAATCTTAGGGGTAAAGGCTCTCAGCAGGGACTTTTACAAGCTTTTTGTCAATCCCTTCCTTGTTTGATACATTGTTTAAAAAATATCAGTCATGTTGATTGAATGCTATGTATTTTTTTTTCATACGGAGATATAATGTGGTTTTTATCATTCAAGTTGGTAAAAATGTGTAAAATGTTTTCTTTTTTTTTTTCTGGGGAACGGTTACCGTAGTATTTATTCAGCTGCTTGTTCATGCAGCTGGGGAAGATCTTTCTCCATAATTAATGCCAAATTGTTGGCAATATTTTTTTGCTCAACGAGTCTGAACGAAGTTAAATAACCTAAAACTGCTCATTTTGACGTCAGATTTCTGTTTTTCACTGATTTACACGTAAAAACCATGCCCAAAAAACTATTAAACCGAAATTGCTATTGTTTTTGACCGATTAATTTGCTCGAGGTCATCAATATTGTCAACAATTTGGCATTAACTGTTTATTTATAATTAGTAGCAAAAAGTTCGGGCAGACAAAAATAGTTAAAAAGAGTAAATTAGCTATTTCAGACACATTTTGCAGGCAAAAGCTAATTTTTCAGACAAAAAGTATGACTCATTGTCACCTAAAAATTCAAAATTGCATGTAAAAGTTGCTCAAAATTGGCAGATTGCTCTTTTTAATTATTTCTGTCTGTCTTAATTTTCCGCAATTCTCTATATAATAAGAATACTGACGCCGATGTAGTTGAGTTGTTTGCCAGTGTCCCAGAAGTTGGTAAGATGTGAAAAGTAGACTGTGGGAGACATGTTTCTGTAGATCAAACCATAGAGCAGATACTTGTTCGTCTGATCCTCACAGCACTCTTCTGCAATCAATTTTGGATATTCACAAAAGAATTAAAGGATCTACTTTACAATCCTCCTCCCCCCCCCCCCCTCCCCTATGATATCTACTAAATAATCTCCAACCCTATCAATAAATACACTAATTTATCACTAAAGCTTTGTGTAGAGAATCAGAATACTAAGTTTGCTGCAGTATGATTGAAAGGAATGGGGGATTCTTATTTTGATCCGACTTGAATTACAATTAATATACTGCAGAAAAAACTGTTGCAGCATTAAAAAAGTATGAAAAATATCTCCTTTCGTAAAATGTTGAACTTTTGACGTTTTTGAAGCTGTTGCCTATGTAGAATTGGCGATTCTACTGCATTACATGCTACAGTAACTTGAGCGTAAGATTGGTTATTCAGTAATTTAAGTAGTACAGCAAACAAAGGGTCGAGTTCAAAATAGATCAAAATTGGAGTATATCGTCCCTTCTATGTCCGAAAATAAATTTTGACAAAAATGCCTAACCCCCCAAAATCGGAACTAAGGAAGCTAATGTTATGAAAATCAAAGGAGCGATACTAGAGATGATTTGACTCAGGCATACGAAAAACGGGACCTCTGGAGACAAGTGATAACGGTTCCCGAAAGTGTAAATGGCCCTATTAGAACTCGGAAACTAGCGGCGTTATTGGGCTCTAATTTAAATATGTTGTAGGCCTAGTTAAGGGAAGCTTAATTTTGGAACATCAGACCCCTAGGACTACCACTTCCGGTTTTATGCCCTAAGTAAACAAACCCATCCCTAACTTCCGGAAGTCGTTTCTCGGCTTCCATTGATCACAGGGAGCTGAAACTTAAAGGGATGATAGTTAATGGCAAGATACTTCTTGTGTTACAATTTGAACACCCCGTTGAAAAAGCACCCCGTCAGACCGGCAATAGGCAAATGACGCAAAATAATGAACGGTGGCATTATGAGTTTATTGCAGCAATCGACATAAGATACGAACCCCAAAAAAGGACCACTTGTGAGTGAAAAGCCTCTGGCGATTCCTTCGGTGTTAATAGCTTTTTTCCGGAAAAAAGATAATGGACTTCAGAACTGGGATAACTTGTGAAGTCTTTATTGGATACGGATGGAACTTGGTGGCTAGGACCCACATGACGTTTTGAACTCAAATATGAATGCTTGACCTCGGTTGACCCCTGGTTGACATTAATTTGACCGTTGGGCTTTTTGACACCAAAATTGCATGGAAAAACAGAGATTAACACCGGAAAATTGCGTATTTTCCAGCCCAACCCCTGGAAATGAAAATGGGTCACCTTGCTAAAAATTGGAAAGAAGATTATATATTGGGATCTAGAGCAAAAACTGATAGAGATATAGATTTATATTGCAACCTTGAAGTAGTAGAGTTAAATGAAAATGGACTTGGTAAACATTGGGTACTGTTTAGCTTGGCGAAAGATCGATTAATAGCAATTCAACTAGACTAAAGAAAATTAGTCGCAGAGGAAATTGATAGTAATAGGACTGCGGCATTAGAATTAAGTCTCCTAAAGAGCATAAACGGACAGGGAATTTACTTGGCTTCCCGGAGGTGACTTTTGGTTTAATTTGACCCCTAATAGCGTTCCCCTGATAGAATGTCGGGATTGGAATAGAGTACGGATAGAAAATTTTGATGTTTGGAATGAACTAGCTACCCATGAAAAAGTCTCCCCCTACCCTTTGGAGGTCGGAAAATTAGCGGGATAATTAAATTAAAGCCCTTGGGAAGCCCACTGAGTAAACATAGCATGGTTTGGAGGTTGAGTTGAACGCGAGGGCTGAACAACTGATGTCAGGAATTAGTTGATCAGAAATGTGCGACCTTTGTTTGCTTGGTCAAATTGTGTCACCTACAGGATATCGGGTATCTAATAAACGTGAGAAGACTGATAAAAAAAATTGAATTTGTTGCGTGGCATAGTTGACAGGGGGATGGATATAGTCTTAAAACATGTGCGGATGGGTGATTTGGTGGCGGATCCTTTCCTTTTGATTTGGTTATTAGATTAGATTCTGGCCACTCAGAGTCTTCTGTAATTAGACTTATACTTATCTGAATTAAATTATTATTGGAAGTTCTTGCGATTGTGTCGAGTAGACAAGACAGCGTGAGAGCAGTACGCAAGAAGGGGCAAGCATCATAATACAATACAGAATAGTTGCCACCAACTAACCTTTTCGGGATTGTAGATAGTAGTGAATCTCGTTCGCCCCGCTGAATTCACTACCCAAGGGATCTTTTTGCGGTGTCATTAGGAAAGAGAAAACGAACCTAGAGAAGCAATCCTCTAAATCTACAGGTTGTTTTTTTGTGATGAAGCCCCCTCCCACCTCTCTCCAAGTAACCCCCGCTATTATGGCCGTTTTCCATCTCATAAAAAAGGGGGTACATAGTAAATGTATAACACAATTTAAACTTTTCACCATTATCTTTGTCGCTGAACATATTAATACTTGTCCACCACATGTCGATTGTGGAACTGAACTCATTGGCTAACTCCTCAGTCGGAAGATCGGACAAATAGTCTGATTCGTAGTCGGACTCTTCGTGTGCACTGCGATCACCCATTGTTCTGTAGCCTTGCAGGCAGAAAAAGTTGCTAGATTAAAAGAAACAAATGATAAAAAATAAATGATTTAAAATCATAATAATAATAATCATAATAATAATAATAATAATAATAATAATCATAATAATGATCATAATATTAATATTAATCATAATAATAAATAATAATAATAATAATAATAATAATCATAATAATAATAATAATAAAAATAATAATAATAATCATAATAATCATGATAATAATCATAATAATCATAATCATAAAATTCATAATAATAATAATAAAAATAATAATCATAATAATAATAATAATAAAAAAATAGTCGATAACAGACGGTTGCTGGACAAGTAGCGCATAGTTTTACTGACCTGCGTGTTCGTTTTTTAAGGAAAAAATTCTATATGAAATATAAATTCAATTTTATATGAAATCAAAGTTTTTGTAAGCTTTTGCCGCAAGAACGGGAACCAGATATAATTTCCAGTAAAATAGGTTTAGGTTATTTTTCACTTGTTAACGTGAAAATTGTTTCTTTCAAACTCAATTTCAGCCAATTAGCGCACTTAAAAGCAAAGTTTAAACAGCCATTTTTTCCAGACGCTAATTTTTTCTGACTCTATCAGTGCTGGCAAAATCCGAACGTGTTAAATTTTGAACATTTTTTTTGCTTAAGTTTTTACAGTTAGAAATCTGCTAGTTTGTATGCATATCAAATACGTCCAACTACTTTGACCTTTAGAGTACGACTGCTTTTTGACCTTCAACTCATCTTACTTGTAACTTCTCTGACCTTTAATTCTTTGACCTCGAAGACTGACCTTTTCAGGGAACAGGCTCTTCCAGCTTCGTTTCGGTCTGTGGGCAGTTGAAACATAAGAGAAGCCCAGTTCCGCGGCACATTCGAATCAATTTCGATCGATGGCACAGACGACAACGTCTCAACTTAAAATCAAACAAAACTTAAGCCTTTTTTGAAAATTGATGGTAGGTTGCTTTTGTTAAATATTTAAGGATTTTTTTTGTCAAATGCAAGGCTAACTAAGTTTGATTTTTTTGCTAATGAAAAGCAGTTGTTGGCTAAAATCTGTTATCAAAACTTCATTTTTATCTGAGATGAAAATTGAATTTTTTAAATTGTAATGCATCCTAAATTGTTCCATGATGATGCTGACCGTGTGAAAGAATTAATAAGAGCAAAAAATTAAAATTTGATAAAGAAAATCCACATATGTTGATCAATGAATCCCAATGTTTTTTCATGATTGTTTTTCTGCAAAAGTTCGGCAACTTAGAAATTACGATAATCAATTCTGTAAATTTGTACACAAATTTGCTCTTTCGAGATACAAATGTTAGGTTTGGAATTAGCTAACAACTTTCAAACTCAAACAGATAATTGCAAATAATTGAGTTTTGATCCTCTATTTATTACAAGAGAAATATGGCCTTCATATTTGTACTATGACCTTTAGGAACTATGACCCCGAAAAATTTATTACAAATGACCCCGAGAAACCCGCACTGAAGTTTTGTGGATAATAATCGATTGAATTTGATTTTTGGATTATTGGATTTTTATTGTCAGTCTCTATAAAATAACAAAAGTAATCGATTATAATCAATTAAAAATGGATTACAATGATACTATTTGTTGAGCAATAAAATCCCAATATTATTGATTATAATCGATTATAATGGATTATTTTGTTCTCTCGCAAAATTTCAACTTTTTCCTTATTTCAATCGCTAGGTGGCGAGGACCCGGGGAGGACGTGAGGGGGACGCGGGGGGATACTTAAAAAAAATTGAAAATTAAGTCTGTTTTTTTCTCAGTTCGGCCAATTTGAATTTCCGAGCACTCCCAAAACCGGGTGGCGTGGTGTGGGGTGGGGGCAGCCTGTTGTTGAGTAGACCTCACACTACCCCCAACCCCACGTTTACCTGAACTACACAGTTACCTCGCTTAGGAGGAACGTATGGGGGGGGGGGGCGTGGGGTGGTCGTAGGTGGCGGGGACGTGGGGTGCTTTAAGAAAAACCGAAAACTTAGTCAGTTTTTTTTCAGGTCGGCCAATTTAAATATCCGAGCACTCCCAAAACACTTAAAAAACGGAGGCAAATTTTTGGAAAAAAATGGTCAAAAATGCCGTTTTTGGGCACTTTTTAGAAAGTTACTTCATATCGGCCGCCCCTGGATGAACGGGTTTGGTCGAGTTTTGCAAAAAGTAGAGTCATTGTTTACAAAATCTAATCAATTTTCATGATTTTTATGTACAAAAATTATCCATTATTTTGAAAACAAAAGTTAATTATACTCGATTATAATAGACTTTATTTTTTTTATTTTTCGAAAATAATCGATTAAAATGGATTAAAAATCCATTACTTTGTCTACGATTGCTATGAAAGTCGTTTATACAGACAACATTTTAGTCAGCAAAACTCCATCATACTCGATTGTTATCCATGAAATTTCGGTGCGAGAAAAAAGTGGAAAACAATTGCTTAGTGTATTCCTCAGTGAAGGGAAGATATTTTGCAAGATTTTGTAAAAATTTGTTTCTCTTTAAAAGACCTTTGAATATAACCTCTTTTAAAGATAAGTAAGATCTTCCAAGATGTCGTTTTGTGTGGAAAAAAAACAGCTTAACGCGCTAAGACAAGTTATAGCGTTCGTGCAAGAAGGAAACAATCTTAGCTACGAATGATTACGCCCAGCCCGCTAGGCGGTTCCGCCCAAATTGTTTAATTTTTTTTCTCGTTTTTTTTAGTTAGGTGGCTATTTTTAAAGTTGGATCGGCTACATATAGCTAAATTTTTCAAAAAAGATAAACACAAATTGTCGCCAAAACGAAAATGAATGTTTTGACATAATTGCAAGCAAAGATAATCACTAAAAGCAAAAGATGAATTTTAGTTTTTTTTTTCACTCATTTTCCCCCTATTTCCTATGTCTGTTGATCTTTCTAGCGTCGTCAATAATTACTGGAGGCTTTGGTGACTCTCATTTGCAATTTTTTTAATGGCACTTCAGATTTTTTGGTGAAACTCAAATTTTTCAAATCTCAGAAACCGAAAACAACCAATTCCCCAATCGTTTTTTTTTCAACTAACTTAATAAATTTTTTGCAATTTTAATTAAAATTTGCTGGTTTTAATCATATACCTAATTTCGCTTAATTATTTGTTATTTAAGCCGGAGTTTTTAGGATGGCTATTTTGCAAGATCTCGCAAAATAACCTACCTACCTTTCTCTTTCAACACATTAGCAAGATAATCTCATATCTTTCATTTAAAAGATAATCTACATCCTGCAAAATCTTCCAACCAAGATAACCCTTACAAAAATCTCCCTTGATTGAATAGGTTTTTCAGACGATTGGTTGAGTTGCTGTAAAGTCTCTTTCATTTTTTAGCCTTCCCCACTTTTTTTTGGGTTTGGGGAAAAAATCGAGCAAAGTAAGCAAATATTCGTGTTTTGTTGAACCCCTCAAATGATTAAAAGACAAAAAACTAGTTTTGAAATTTTTTAAATTAATTCTTTATATTGAAAGCAAACAGTTCAACGCGGAATTAAGTTGAACTAAAATGATTTTTTTTTTCATTGTAAGAAATTTTTTAATGCAAAAACTTTTCCAATATTTTATAAAGCTTTGCTTAAAAACTATAATTTGCTAAAACTGAAGTAAGCCAAGGAAAAAAGTTTAGTTTGTAATTGAAAAAGAAATCAGCAAAATAGCTAGCTGTAATGAGTGACGATTTTCAGGACGACAAAAATTTTCAGGGCGACAGAAAAGTGCATAAAAGAAAATCTTGACAAGCTTCCCCCATGAAACGGTATTTCATTCTGAAGTGGGGTGCGTTTAAAATTTGTAGAGGGTCAACAAGGAAATCATATTGAACATCTGTTGTTCGGGACTGGGATTCTGTATAAAATCCGTAAATTATCTTAGTGTCAAAAAAACTGGTCTGAATTCCTCTCGTTTTCAGAATATTTTAGGCAGAGTTCAATGGGAACATAACCTCGGATGCTTAATTGTATTATAATCATGACGTCATGTGACTAAAACTACCGCGTTTTCTTGAGTTTTTTACCCAGTTTAACCCATTTTCAATTTTTTTCCAATTTTTTCAAAATTATTTCCTATTTTTGAATTTTTTTCCCAAATCAGTTCGGTCGGAATAATTTGTGCTTTTTGTGCGTCTTGCAGAGTTTCCAGCTGTTTTTTGTTTTGACCAATACCAATGGGGAACATTTTTGTATTCGGATGTTTTTTATTTTTTTTTCACACAAAATCAGGTACCGCGAATAGTCATCAGACTGGGTTGCATGAATTATCATATTAAAAAAGACCCTAGCTTGAAGAAAAAACTTTTTTTCTTTGAGAATGTGGTCGGAAAGTTCTGTGCTATTTGCACAGCGACCGGCTATTCTCGTTTTCTTTTTTGGAAATTTCCTATTTATTTTTATCAATTTTGGTTAAGCTTTTATCTGAACCCAGCAGGAAACAAGCATGGTTTGCCAAATTGTATGAACCATGTCAACAAAAACATCGGAGGTATCTCACAAAGTGACTTGCCGTTTTCTTGTTTCAAATAATTCATGCGGATGTTTTGAGGAAAAAATTTTATCGAACGCTACCTGATTGAGGAAGATCAAATGGAGAAATTGAAGCTTGTGATTGCTGATATTATTGTGATGTGTTTTCCTGTCAATGTATAAGCATCTTTCATATTTGATTTTAAACTAGCCACAAAATATCGATTCTTTTATTTCAATTTTAAGCAAAATATTTCACGAGTGATTAATATTTGTAATTTTTTGGGGTTTTGATCCTTGTTAATTTGACCATAATCGGGGCGCTTCTAAGCGCGCTTTCAAAAATCAATCTATGTTGTTAAAAGCATAAACGCGAACTTGGCTGCTGGTATCAAGGCAGGGCTCTGAAACTTCCATCTGCATTTAAGGTCTATGGAGTAAGGTTCGCTTTCCAAGAATTGATGAAATTTTCGAAAAAAAAGTTCATTTTTTTGAACTTTTTTGAGAACCACTCTCTTACACTCACTTTGTAGAGAACAAAGTGACTTTGGTCGCACATAGCAAAGTATTAATTAGATAAAATAGCCTGCTGGAATCCTATTTAGATTGAATTCTTAATCGGAATCAATCTCCGCTATCGCCTTATTAGCATGGGATGTATCGCGCTTTAATTATCCGAAGCTGACCAAATGACAATCTCTAAAACCCCTTAGCATTAAAAAAAATAATCACAGGTATTTTTTTTAATTTTGAGTTCAGTGCAACAATACCTTTTGACTGATATTTTTTTTAAAAAATTCGTCAAAAATTGTTAGTTAAAAAGCCGAAATTTGTCTGGAGAAAAACAATTCAACCCAAGCACAGATATTCCATCAGTTTTTTCGACCTATCTCCAATGAATTACCGAGTCACTCAAAATTGTTTTGAGGCAAGCTAATTGACTCAACTTCTAACACCTACTAACTGGCATGGGCTTTTGAGTGAGGGAAAGGCTTAGTGTATTCCTCAATACACAATTGCTTAGTGTATTCCTCAGTGAAGGGAAGATATTTTGCAAGATTTTGTAAAAATTTGTTTCTCTTTAAAAGACCTTTGAATATAACCTCTTTTAAAGATAAGTAAGATCTTCCAAGATGTCGTTTTGTGTGGAAAAAAAACAGCTTAACGCGCTAAGACAAGTTATAGCGTTCGTGCAAGAAGGAAACAATCTTAGCTACGAATGATTACGCCCAGCCCGCTAGGCGGTTCCGCCCAAATTGTTTAATTTTTTTTCTCGTTTTTTTTAGTTAGGTGGCTATTTTTAAAGTTGGATCGGCTACATATAGCTAAATTTTTCAAAAAAGATAAACACAAATTGTCGCCAAAACGAAAATGAATGTTTTGACATAATTGCAAGCAAAGA